GCGCTCGCCGGGATGGGGGGACGCGGCTCGGGTTTGTCCCGCTCCTAGAGACGATGCGATTGCTTCCAGGGATAAACCAGGGTGCTGGCGGCGTGTTTCTGCCCCTCCGTGTGTTTGTGTATTTACACGTGTGCGTTTGGTGGCTGCTCGGCAGGGGTTTGCGGGAAGGAGCCGGGCACAGGCACGGGATGGGCGAACGCGTGGGAGCTGGGAAGGATGGGGAGAAAGGGAAGCCGCGACCCCCGCAGCCCCTGGCAGGGGTTCGCACCGCCGATAACATTGTTCGGGCGTGGGGAGGAGGAAACAATGGAAACTTCCTGGCCTGGGCCTGCGGCCCGTCCTTCGGCAAATAATTCCCAGAGCTGGGCTTCCCCCGTGTTGCCTGAGGCCCTGCTGAACCCGTGTGTGTGTGTAGTGTAACTCCAAAGGCTGGCGTCCCTCAGAGCCGCTGGGTGGTGGGATGCTCAGGGTTTGGTCAGTTTGCTTTTAACCTGGGTCAGGGAGGATGGCAGTCCTTCCCATCCCAACCTGCCCTTCCCGCAAATGGCACAGTGTGGGATCCTGCTCGTTGGTGTGTAATGGTATGCCCGGGTCTAAGAGGTGAGGAGCTTAGGCGAGGCTGTGGCAACCTGATTTCCTTGTCCTGAGGACTGAACCCTTGTCGTGTCAGTGAAAAATGCTGAGGCTAAACTGTCTAGGAAGCAGCATGTCCCCAGGTCTCCAAATTTCCTTGCAACCCTCTCCCTGGGGGAGACTTCTTAGACCTAGGAGGTTCCGTTCTTCTTGCATGCCAGGGAGCAGGCTGGGGAAGAAGGAAGAGTGGGGCAACATGTGTGTATGAAAGATAAGGAATATAAATTTAACACTTTCCAAATACCACTGTGAGTAAGGGCAGTGGGAGGAAAATACTTCGTCCGCCCTTTCAAATTGCACGAGGAGAGAAGCAGGGGCCGTGCCGAGAAATGAAGGTTTGCCCTGCACTTGTGGTAGAGAAGAGCCCAGACAGCTCGGGCACAGGTGCTGGGAACTGAAAGTGAACCGGGCGCAAGTGGCAGCTTCCCGTCCCTGCGCAGGGACCGGAGCCGCTCTGACAGGGACACTCACACCCTCCCTGCCCGGGCGAGCAGCTGGAGCGCCGAGTTCCCCGCCTGGCACTGCAGCGTGGCCGTGCTCCCGCTGTCAGGCTCCCAAAACAATGTCAGCGGCACGCAGCGAGTGAAATTCCTGCGTGCAGAACAAGGCCGGGTGACGAGGGGAGCGGGGCTGACGGCCCGGTGCGGGGAGCAGGTGGGGAACGCAGCGCTGATGCTTCTGAAAGTATGACCTCACTGCCAAAACGCTGCCTTCCCCTCGCTGCCTGCGTGGAGGCTGGGTGGCTGTCGGCACTGCCTGCCGTCACAGGCAGGGAGGGCTGGGGAGGGGAAGCTTTCTTTCTTCACCTCTGCAAGACGATATTTGGGGTTTCTTAGTTTTGGCACAGCCTAGTGCAGCCGTATTATTAGGCCAAAGCAAACAGGCCTTTTCAAACCCCAGCACTGATAAATCCTCGCTCAAGAGGAGCAGTTTCACTGAACTCAGTTGCTTTGCTCTGCACTGTGCTGTTGTGCACCTTGGTATTCTACTGCAGAGAAAGATGAGTTGTGATTAGGCCCATGGTTATGTCCTAAGTATATGTTTTCAGGCTCTACCCTATATTATGTAGTGAGGTGTCGTGCAATTAATACGTAGAAGTTTTGACATACATTTGCAATTCCAGGAACTTGACTGGCGGTGCATTTTTTATCACTTGTTTTCAAGCAGTGGCTTTGTCACCTAATGATGGTTCTTTTTTTTTGTTCTTTCTCAGGATTCTCAGTTGCTCACATTTGAGGAAGATGACCCACTAGAACCACTTGAGCTGGCAGTTAAAGAAGTTATTAGTGTTGTAAAGTCAGCTGAAGAGAAGGTAAACTTTGGATTTGTTGTGTTCCTGTGTACTTTGGGGCAGGAAATGTTACCTTTTATTAGCGTAGGTGGGAGCTTTATTTGTCAATACTCCTGTACCCTTGCCCTGCGTTTGCAGAGGCTGGTAAGAGGCTGCCTCTCTTAATAAACCTCTGCATTGATTCACTTCTTTTGCAAGTCACAAGCAGAAGGTGCTCCAGGGCTTCTACCAAATGAACAATAACCAGGGTTATGCCAAGTTTATGGGTACGCCCTCAATGAGCTCACAGAGCAGAGCCCTCTCCCCCACCTCCACAGTCCTTAGGATGAAGTGTGGGGTGGGGACTCCACAAAGAAAGAAAGGGACATTTCTCCTCTGGGACAGGAAAACATCCTTGTCTGCCTCTTGCTGTTTGTGTGGCTGATGACAGGTTTGCTTCATAAGTGGGAGTTGAGTAAGGATCATTGGAAGAGGTGCAAAGCCCTGGGGGTGAAGTCTTGACTGTGCTGAATCCTGTGAGGAGCAAGTGATTTCTTTCTTCCTCTCCCACTGCACATACTGGGAGGTGTTTTAGTGTCTGTGAAATTAAAATAAGGCAGAATGTGGCTCTCAGAACAGGGCAAAAATGCATTAAAAGGGAAAAAAGATCTGTGTATGCTTATTATTATTCAGTATTTTTGTCCTAGTGACTGTAAGTGCTACTTACATCCAAGCTTGTGCTCAGCTTTAGGCACCTGCATCAAATTAGCCTGCAGCTTTTCTTTTGGTTTTGCTCTGTTATTTTGCTTTGCTTGTCTGATTTAGATGTTAAGCAGCTCTACTATGATTCCTCTGAAAACTATGCATGCTTATCTGCCTGATACACAACTTAGAGGCACACCCTGACTGGTGGCAGCTGGGGGATTGTAAACTTGTAAAGTTGTTTGTGCACTTGTTTTCTCTCTTTTTATTTGGTGGTGGTTTTTTTTTTTTTTCCCCTTCCAGAAATGGGGCTGGAGAGACTGGATTTAGTGAGGCTGTAGAGGTGACACAAGTGTTAACTCTGTGCCACTGGAAGACACCAGGATGGGGAATTGTAAAGGACAGGGGGCTGCTGGGTCTGAAAGGGATGTGCTGTGTAATGTGTGAAGCCAGCACCCGAGGGAGATCTGCTGCAAATAAAAGCTGGCAAGTAACAGCACAAAAAACTGCTGTCTTGCAGTGCAGTGTTTCTAAAACATTGCTGAAAATCGGGCAGGGCTGCAAGGGTTGGACTTGATGATCTCGGAGGTCCCTTCCAACCCAGCTGATTTTGTGATTCTGTGAAATGTGCTTTCATGGGAGATGGCCAGGAGGAGGTCTGGGTCTGCTGGCTGCCCTTGGGCAGTGAGAGCATCATCATCTTCAGGCTAAAACTGGTGCCTGTGTGCCAGAACCAGGGCACAGTGCTGCAGTCCTGGGTTCCCCTGAAGTCTTGTCGTACCCAGGGAGGGTTGTGCTGCAGTCCTCAGCTAACCTGGGTATTGTTTACCTGTAGGTTCTGGCTGCCATAGCAGGGAGGTAAGTTAGTGCCCACAGTGCCCTGTGGGGCACCTTCCCCTGCTGTGGTGAAATTTGGGCAGCTGGAAGCAGTAGGTGCTGACTCCCTGGCAGCCTGAATCCAGGGAACTTCTCTCCTGTACCTGTGGCTTTGGAGTCCTCTGCCCTCCCTTGTGCAGTCTCTGGTCCTTCTCTCTGACCTTTGGTTGAACCATTTGAGCATGTTAATCGAGCTGTTCCACTGCAGACAGCAATCTAATGTGGTTTCAAAGCAGCTTAAATATAAGCACATTTAAAAATTTATTTGACTAAACCAGGTTTGCTTTCATCCTCTGGGTTGTTCTGAACTGTTCCAAAAAACCCATTTCTATAGCCTTGTGCACAGCTGCTGGAAGAATTTCTCTAAATTATTCTTACTCCTTCAGTTAAAGTTACAACCTGAGTAGTTATTTGAATTTCAGTGTATAATAACCTTAGAGTGGCACTCTGGTACCTACTTTCCCTTCTTCCTTAGATGCATACCTTTCTTTAAACACCTCAGGAGTTCTCTTATATGATAATTGTCTCTTACATATTCCTCAGGTAATACCAGGGTCCAAAGGGGTTTTTTGTGGTGTTTTCTTTTGCCCCCCCCCCCTTGCTCTTCAAACTCTCAGTATTTGCATATGAAATTGAAATCTCTCTTTGCAGTTTGTCCAAACTCAAGCTTCTGGTACATGTTTGTGAGTCTCTACTGGCACGACTGGCTCTGGATGCAGTTTGTGACCACGTGCTGTGTGTTTGTCAGTGTTGTAGCATCCCACAGAGCTCTGTACTTGCCTGAGGCATCACCTCACACAAGACTCTTTTCCTGCAACCTGTTCAACGTGCTGCTTTACTTGTGATCTGTATGGAAGGAGCGTGTGGGTGCCTTGGCTCAGCAGCCAGGGTTTGATTTATTGCACGTCGTTTCAAATATGACTTAGACCTTGCATCAGAAGGGTTGTGGCCATCAAAGGAAGCAGAGGATTGAGGGTGAGGGATCAAAATAGCAGTAAACATGGGATGTGCAATGCTTTCATGCAACTGTGTGCTGATAGAGGCCTCTATCAGGTGGGTGGTCCTCTGTCCTCTTGTATGCTGGGCCGTGGAGCACAGCCAGGTGATGAGCCTGGGAAGTCTTGCTCCAAAAAAACAGCCAGGCAGACTGTAATTATTATATTACTGCTGTCAGCCCTGTTTATGACCAGGACGTGGGCTGGCACCTGCAGTCCTTAGGTATGTACCCGCTGTCCTGGCCTTGAAGAAGCTGGAAGTGGTGAAACTGTGTTTGCTCCACAGTGAAATGCTGCAGACACGGTTGGAATGCTGCTGCTTCTCAGCTTGGCCAAAGCTGTTGTGATGGGAACAGAGCTGCTCTGTGGCTGAAGGTTACACCACACTGCTCCTTGATAAAGCCTCTGTTTATGTGTCGCCTTCACTCCCAGTTTTGGGCCGGAGCCTAAATATATAGAATGAAGTGGCCTGTTTTCATTGTGTGGTATTGGTTGTTTTGTTTTAATAAAGTAAACATTAGGAATATTCTTAGCTATTTCTGCCAGCCTTTCCATTAGTGCAGTCTGTTTCCAGAGGATTTGAGCTTCACAACAGTGACAGCAACAAAAAAGGCAACAAAAAGGAAGATTCTCTTGCTGGGGACTTGGCACAGAGGGTTTGGATGGAGCAGGCAACCACAGAATTCTTCTTTCTTTTTCTGCTTCATGCTTAACTGGAAAGGGATAAAATTTCTTCAAAGTGCCATTCCTTTAATGAGTGATAATAAGTTGCTGTATTGTCTTTTACCTTCAGTTTTGCTTGAAAAACTGTCCCAGAGCTTTGCTGCTTCAGTGACTGGGGTTTTTTTACAAACCTAGGTGGAACTATGGCCCATGCAGCTTTTATTACTTTTTTTTTCTTTTTTTCAGTTTCTGTACTAGTATAACCCCTTACCCTTACTGTGTTTACTCTTCTTCCATGGTTCTTGCTGTCAGTAAATGTATTATGAAGGAATTGTGTTTCCTTCGAGCTTTTGTTTAGCTTGGCTACGTAAGTTGCTCCTTAAGTCTGCTTTCACAACGTTGTCCTGGCTCATAAGTCTCTCCATTCTCAGCAGCAGCTCCAATTAAATCCATGTTCTTGAACGTGGTGGCTGAAGTGACACACAGCCCTGCAGGTGAGGTCTCACTGTGCAAGGAGATAGCTTCTTTTAGTCCCTGAAAGTACTTCCTTGAGGGGTTTTAGGCTCCAATCTGCCTCCTGTGGCTGCTTCACACTGTGACTGATTTGTTGCAGCCAGGTCTCTCTCCCTGTGGTGTTCTCCCAGTGATAAGATGTTCTCTATGTGAGTAGTAGCTGTTAATTCTTACACAAACACTCACACTGCATATTTTGTATTGCATTTCTCTCCTACATTTCAAGGTTTTTCAGCTTTCCTGTGTGATGTCCTAGTCTTCCTTTGTGTTGCTGTTTCCCAGCTTGCTTTCCTGAGCATCACATTTTCTTTCAGGTTTCTCCTGAGGGATTTTGGATGTTAACTATGCAATAGGTTTGATGCCTGACAGGCTCCTTTGTAACTTCTTTCCAGCTTTCACCTCCTTGCTCGCTGTCCTCTCCCTACTCAAAAGCACATCCCCGTTCCCCTTAATGTGGGAGTGACAGACAAAACAACACAGTGATCCAAGGTACTTCAGAAGTGGGTGTCTTGTCCAAGGAGCACATCAAGCTGGGGGTTTGTTTGCTTCCCTGGAGATGACACTGGTTTTGGCACTGTCAGGTGACCTGTCTTGTCTTTGGTTGCTACTGCAGATGTGTGTGGGCCTCCTGGAGGCTTGTGCCACATCTGCTGGCTTGGCACAGGGAGCAGGGATGCCTCAGCACACCTACACAGGTACATTCTGTCTCTGCAACTGAATTGCTCTCCAAGCTACTGTAGCACGAACTGGCAAGCCTCCTCTGGGGTTCATTGTCTCCTGGTGGCCTCTGTGTCTTCAGCTGTGCTGTCCCTCAGATGGTTTGACAAGACTTGCATGTTAGTGAGGCCAAACCAGCAGGTCTGCTTCTGGTGTTTTTTTATTTCCCCCCTTCTGAAGAGTGAGGGCTGCTTCCTGTCCTTGATTTGTTTGATACTCACTTAATTTGATAGGTGGATTGAAAATTCTTCCTGCCCTGTCTCCTTGTACTCCCTGCTTGTTTGTTTTACTCCCTCTCCCCTTTTTTTCCCCACATACTTGAATTTGTATGTCTCGTTCTCAAAGGAGTGGATAAATTCACATGTTTTACCAGTTTCTGCCTTGTTTCTGTGGCTGAGCTGGAATCTCTCTCTCCTGCACTCATTCCATCACTCACCCTGCCTTCACCATGGTGTTTACCATCAGGTTGGAAAACTGACTTGAGGTTGTCTCATTGCATTTGCAGGCAAATTCACTTTGGTACCAGCTCCTAAAAATCCACACCTACCTGTGCCTGGGTTAGATATTGCATTTGTCTTCTCTCCTTCATTTGGTCTGTGTCACTTGGTAAACTGGGTGAAGAGAGGTTGGTGAAGAAGGTGGAGAAACTCCCCTCAAAGAATTTAAGACATTGGCTCTGGTAAAAAAAGAAGATCATGTAATTCTTCTTCTGAACAGCTCAGTGTTCATGACTATCAAAAGGCACAAGTTTCTGGCTGGAAAAATTATCTAATGGTGAAGTTTTAAGCCAAGCACACAAACTGTCTGTGTGGCCATTGAAAAGATAAGTTTTCCATGCCAAAAAAGAGCCTTCCCGGAGAAATATGGGAGAAATATTTCTATGGGAGAAATACTAATTTTCTTGTGAAAATGTTAAATGTTTGTGCTACTTACAAACTGGTGAGTAACCCCGAGTAACCTGTCCTTTCTGCAGATAAATACCACGTGCTGTAAAACTTGATTTCCTTCCAGAAAACAAACAAAAAAAGGCAATCAAGGCCTGTACTGCTGGGGGTTTTACACACACGTGTGATGTGGTCAGGGCCTGGGGAAGGTGAAGAAGATCTTCCCCATCAGGTCTGTCAGAACTTCCCCCTGAAGTCACAGCCCTTCAGCTCAGGAAGGGAACCTGCAGCTGCCCTGGGAGAGGGGAGGAAGGAGTTACAAAAAGGGAACATGTAATGCACAGATTGGTTGGGGTGCCAATGCCAAAGCTGAAACCTCAAGGTGAGAGGACACCACGTGTGAGGAGCAGGGGCAGCATGGTGCTTCTTGAGATGAAGGAAGGAATAAAAACTGAGATTTTGCAGCTCTGTCCAGAGGAACTGCAAAGGGAAAATGCCAAGATACAGAGGGGGAGGGCAAAGCAAGGGGAAGGGTTTTAATAGCCGTGAGTGCACAAGTTTGGACACTTGAGTGTCTCAGAAAAATAGTCTTGCTCCAACTGTAGTGCTTCTTCAGTCTCCTTTGTTCCTGCTCTTGTTTATCTGGAAGAGAATTGTTTTCAGGATAGTTGTACTAACAGTTTTAGATACCTGTAAGCAAGCTGTGTCACAGCACCTGCAGCTCACTGGGGGACAGAGCCCAGTTGGGCCGAGGAGTTTTGCCATCACAGCTCACCCCCATCGTGGGCCAGTGTGGTCAGGGATGGAGAGGGGAGGCTGGAGGGTGTTGAGGAAGCAGCAGGAATAACCCTGGTATAGGGGTGATCACGTGCCAGGAGTCAGCTGAGTATGGGAAGGGATGGCAGAGGGCTGAGGAGGAGCAGGGACACAGCCTTGCAGGCAAAGGTACCTGAGGAGGGGCTGGGAACCCCTTCCATGGGAGATCCCCAAAGCACATGGAGAGACCTTGGCTGGTGATGGGGTGTTTGTGCCAGGAGAGGTGCTGGAGGGGGAAAATAGCTTGGTCTTGGTTTCTTTGTGCTGCTGCTTTACCTCCTTAGAAGATCTGTCTTGCCTAGAGGTAGGATCACAAAAGAGAGCTGTGGGTGACCCCTCCGGGAGGCCAGAATTAGCTGGTCCCAGCTGCTGTGCAGGGCTTAATTTTTCAAGAGCTGCTTGTTATAAAAATAAACAGTTTTCTAGACTCTAAACCACAAAGTGTTGATGCCCGGGGATGCCCCTGGTAAGTGGGGTGGGAGAGAGAGGAACAGAAATGAAGTTGAAGGGCAACTCTCTTCCCATTCAGGTTCCTCTGGATGTCTGTCCTTCCTCTTTCTCTCCCCTGTCGACCAGAAAGGGATGCTTTGCCTGATCATCCCTTCTCCAGCTCTTCATCTGTGCAGAGAAAATGAATTTGAGGAAGCAGGTTGGATGGAGGGGAGAGGAACACAGCACAGAAAGCTTCAGTATTTGTCTTTGTGTGACTCCTGGGGAAGTTGGCCTTTATATTTCTGCTCTGGTCTATCAAAGTCATCTACACTTCTAAAGGAAGGTCACTTAACAAGGGAAACAATAGTTGTGGTCTCTTTAATCAACTTCTCACCACTTGTGGCAGGATCTTAAATGGAAACAAAGTCACTTTCTCGTCAAGTTCTAACCCAGAATTCTACTGCTCTCAGTATTCTGACCCCTTCATCCATCCTGATCCCAGAACAAAGGGATTCAACTGATATAAAGATATGTTATTTTCCTTTTACAAACATGAAACTGCTCTTTTTTCTGATTGGATTAAAAAAATAACACGTCTGTACCTGAAGACCACAGTTATTTTATTAGAAGTGAGGGCAGAAGGGGAGTAGGACTTAATAGATGTCTTGGCAGAAAATAAATTCATCAAGGAGACTAAAAGTGCAAGCTGTGCTGGTTTGGGCTTTGAAGCTAAAGGTAAAAATATTTTTAAAAAATAGTTCAGCATCTCTTGACAAAGTGTAGAAATGCACCACCTGCACTGACTGTTTCCATGCTTTACTTGGAGTTAAACATGATTAAGAAACAAGTGGCACATAAACTCTCTGGCCACACTTTTTTTTTTTTTAAAGCATTAATCAACCACATACCTGGCAAGCTTGGCTCTTGGACATCCAGAAATTCCAGATGATTGGCTCTGCATCACATGTGCAGCAAGTCCAACTTGTTTTGCATGCACTGAACTTCCTGTGGATGTGTGGATGAAATGTGCATGGATGATAAACCACTGCATTTAGGACATGCAAGTGCCAGGACCTTTTGCATCAGGCCTGTCCTTTTTACTCCTCTTCCCTCTAAAAAGAGGGAAGAACCTGTTTATTTCTGAGGTGTTCCAAGAGCCACCATGTCAGGCCCTCATGAATGGAGTGATTCTGTGTTTCAACTCAGCTACAAGTGAAATAAGCAGTTGAGCTCTTAATTCCTGTTAGCTATTAAAAATACCTTAAAATCTATTATATATTACCATAATAGCTGGTGTTCATGTTGATTGTGTGGGATTAATGTCAGAAATCACTTCCGAGGGAATTTAGACTTTGGGAAAGGGGAGAGGTGAGCTCTCTCTGTTTGTCCACTTCTAAACTGTAATTTGCAGAAGACAAACCTGAAAAGGCAAATCTTGTCGCTTGTGGGTGTGGTTGGGATTTTTATTTGTCATCTTTGCCCCCCCACCCCCTGCTCGTTTTTAATTAAGTCTCTACCTTAATGGATGTGCTCTGAAACCCTTGGCAGTGCTCTGGTCATCCTTAAAACGTACCCTAGAGAGCCCAGGGAGATGAAATATATTTAAGGAGAGGCCGATAAGGATCTTCCAGAAGGAACATGATTCACTTTAAAGCCTTCAGCTTCAATTCCAGTGCCCATAAGTGGAGCAGTGAGTGCACAAACACAGTTTAATAGCATCATGCAGAGTTTCTGTCAGACAGATCTCGCAGCGAGTTAATTTGTCTGCGCATTGCATTGACCTGATTACCTTCTCCTGAGTCAGTCTAAGGAGGGCTCAGCTGTCCTTTCCAGTGGAGCTGTGGGGACAGTAACCACAGAGGAGGGACAGTGACAAGCAGATGTCTCCAGCCAGCAGGTCTGGTTGCAAAGTGATCGTGTCTCTGTGGCGTAATGAATGTTTTCTGACTTCTACCCTTGGGGGCTTTTCCTGTGCCGCCAGCCTGCACACTCCAGGAATTTTGCCTGGCAGCTCCAGCACCCCAGTCAGTTTGCAGAGGAGAGAGAGGAAAAACTATTTGGTGTTTGTAAACTCAGTGTGATAAGAAGTTGAATTACTGCTCGTAAAAGTGAGGGAGTGGACTCGACAAAGTCTGTCGCAGTCTGGTGGCATACAGAGTTTTCCCAGATGTTTAGTTTTGACACCAAATTTCAGGACCTTTCTTGGTTTGGCCAAAGGCTTGAATAAACTTTTGAAGGCTCCTGTTCTTTCCCATCCCCCTGGGAACTGGAATTACTCAGGCACAATCCTCTTCTGTAGCACCAGGGTTATGCCAAAGTTTCACATTCGTAGGATACCACTAAACTAAAGATTGTTTGGTAAAAACAACTGTCCTGTGTCAGGCTACTTAGTTCTTACCAGAAGAGGAAGAAGAACAAACATCTTTGTCTCCCTTATGCAAAATTGCCTCTTTGAGCTTTTAATATCTAGATATATGAAATTGAAAGGAGTCTTTGTCAGGTGAGGAGTTACTTTTGAATTAGATAATAATACAAAAGAAATTTTGAGAAACACCATCATTTGCAGGCATTAAATTTCATGTGCAGAACTGAACACTGGAACTACATCTTTTTAGAAGAACGTACAGAAGGAGGCAGGAACATTCATGAAATTGCTCAGGAATTTCCCACCTGTGGAATTTGGCATAGTTCTGATAGCCTAAAGTCCTTCCTTAGTTCCTTTCTTGCTTTCACCAAACCTTCTGAAGACTAACTTGTTTTTCTCTTCCTTTGTTTCCCCTCGCCCTTTTTACTTCTTTAGGTGGTTTCTTGCAATGTTGTGGGAGGCTCTGTAAGGTTTGTTGTCGCCGTCTCTGACCCTTCGCCCGCGGCTGCCGAACCTCAGTCCTACAGTGTGAAACTGTCTCCACTTCACTTGCAGGTAAAGGGCTCCTCTCTCTTCCCTTTGTTTTGTTACATTTCATCCCTCAGCTGTTTGCAAACTGCATGTTAACTCTGGTAAAACGTTTAGTAACGTTACACTTTCCCTCTGGGGCAAGTGGTAAATTCATAAATTACGGATAAATAACACGTTGGGTAGAGTAGTCGGATGTATAGAACAGTTCCCTTTCTTGACTGGCATGCACTCACAAAGATTAAGCACCTTCTGCTTCTTGGATTGTCATTTTGAAGTTACTTATAACATTCTTCCTTTGTCAAGCTTTAGTATGGGGCTTGACCTACAATTTCTCGACACCAGGACACTCTCCAATAACTGGTTTCTTATCCACAGCTCCAGCTCTCCGTGAAAGACAAAGGAGAAGATGTCAAAGTTGAGTGGTTCCTCATTAACACCAATGAAATCAACTTTGAAATCCAGCCAGCAGTGCAGGAGGTCAGTCAGTAAGTTTTATTTGTTGTAGTGGTAGAGAAAACAGTTCTCCATCCCTTCGGTCCAAAATGTAGTGTAAAACCTCTGCCATGGCTCAGTCACCAAACCCCTCCATCTCTGAAATCTGGGATCATCTCTAGAGATTACTGAGGCATTAGAGATAAGTCAAGTCTGAATTCGATGGACAAATAACTTTGCAAACATTTTTTTGTCCAAATTCAAAAGCGTGAAAAAGTCTGTTCCTAAATACCTTCTCTCTGAGCACTTCCAAAATAATTAAAAAACCCAGTTGTAATGGTATCCCCATCAAAGCAATTGCAAAGTTGCTCCTTTCCTTAATTTAAACCAGTTTTGAAATCTGGCAACGATGGTTCAGAAATTGCTGTGAAAAAATACAGTTGTTTAAGGAAATGATGGACGATCTAAAAATATTTTGATGCTTTTGGAATTGCATCTTATCTTTGTATATAAACAACTGATTTGTTGGGGATTGTTTTACTGGGACGTCCCCTGAAAGAGTTTCTTCATGACTGAGATTCTCTTCTGCCTTTGACCCTTCACAATTATATTTTTTTGGCATAAATGTGGTGACTTAAGCCTCTCTTACAACAGAGGGTGAAGACTTGCTTGTGTTTTGTGAAGTTGCTTTTCAGACTGAAGGCCTTGTTAAAAAATAGGTTTATTGTAGAGCTTCTTCTAAAGACCTGTACTGAATGCCCTAATTTATTACCACAGCTTTTGTACACAAATATGTGAAACTCATAACTAAAGACAGACAAGTCTTTTGAAGTGTGCTTTAATGTAGATTTTACTGTGCACACGTAGCAGTGTAAATGACCCTCACGTGGTGGGGTGACATGCTGATTATCCACATATTGAACAGTCATTAAATTATTCCTGACAAGCACAGGTGACTCTGCAGTCACTGTGGACTTCACAACCAGCTTTTTGAGAGGTGCCCAAGTCCAGCGTTGCAAGGTTGCAACTTGTTATGCTTTGCCCACGTTTTTAGAATGAGCCTGTTAAGTTCTTAATAGTTAAAGGCTTTATTTTCCCTTTGAAGTTTCTATTAGCACTCAGGGAAGAGGGGAGGCAATAAACAAAGATCTAAAACCTGTGAGCAACCTACACCTCAGAAATTGCTTCAGCTCCTAAACTTAAGCGTCAGCTTTTGTGTCCTGGTTTGTTTTTCCTCTTTTGGAAGCGAGATCGTGTGTACAAATAAATACCTGTAATTACTTGTGATTATCTACACAGTGGTTTTGTCATCACACAGGCTGGGTATAACAACCCATTTTCTGTTGATAATGGCTGGGTGAACCTGAGCTGTGTTTGGCAACCTGGCTGACTCGTAGGGCTTGGGTTTGCATGGGGTGACTTGGTGGGCTGGTGTGCCCCGAGCTGGCTGTGGTGACTGGCTGTGCACCCCTAGCCCATGTGAAACCCAAAGTGAAACCTGTTGACTTCATCATTTTGGGCTTGCCCTGTCGAGGGTGTCGTGGTGGAGCATGACTTTCTGAGTAAGGATGGCTAAAAATGAGGTTGGGCTGACAGGAGGCTCTTTAATTGATCTCTTTTCCAAGTGACTATGGAAGCAACAGAAAATACCTACGAGTAGAAGTCCAGTGACTGTGGTTGTTGTTGTTTTTTTAAATTAACAAATATCAGAGAAGGTTGATGGTAAAGCAAGTGGCAACTGGGATTTTAGAATTTGATTTGTTCATCAAGCAGCGTTAAGGTAAAGGCAGGGGAGGGAAATTACCTCCAAAACAGCGAGGACTAACCACAGTTTATCTGTTTATTTAAATAACTTAAGTAATGAAATTGCTGAAAAGGAAATAGCTTTAAACAGCCTAATTTACTTAAATCTTTTTTAAAGTAGACAAGTATTCTCTGGAAGTTGCAGAGGTGCCTCTTTCCTTGGCAGTTGTTTGAGGGAGCATGGTGTGAGTACAGCAGAGTTTCTGTGGGACTGGCCCATGCTGTTGTATGTTTTGAACCTGTCATCAAAGGCCAGTTGGGTAAGAAGGCAGTAAAACAGGAATTCTGTACACGGCATTCCTGGGATTTTTATGAAACACCCTAAATGTTTCTGTAACACTTGGGTAATTGGGGAAGGGCTGTTACTCCAAATCTGTTTGGCCTCTTATGTAACCTCACAACAGTGAAGTCTCCCAGTGTGGTATCAGATGGGAATAGATGGATGAGTCCTCTGTTTTTAGGACAGATGATTGTCTCCTACATAAATCTTTTCTTTAAAGAAGAAACCTCACTGAGATTTCTCCTGTGCCACCTTCAGAGCTGTTGGGTGTCAGACTGTCCCTTCTGGGGAAGCTTAAATTTAAAAATCTACTCTCTGTAGGTAGCTGAGCAGAAGAAAATTCCTGAGGAGCATGCTATGGGAAGCAGGAATTCTCCAGAAACACAGAAAGGGCAGGGGCAGGTCACTGTCTTCATACACCTTATCATACCAATCGTGAAGCTACGTGTGTACTCAAAATCTGTGGTCTGTTCTGATCCCTCAGAGATTGTGGTGCTAAGCACAGACAGCCATGAGATTTCTTGAATGGGCAACCTCACGAGCCAGTCCCCCAGAGCATCACGACTACCTGTCCTTGCAGTGCACTTTTTCAGCGAGGTTGAAGACCTCCAGGAGATGCTGTAATATTTTTTTTGTCAGTGCAGCACAGGATTAGTTTCTCCTCAGCTGCTGCAGGCTGGCATAACTCCCATTCAATCTGTGGAACGGTGCCGATCTGCTTATCTGATGACCTGATCTGCTCCCTCTGTGGAGTGCAGAGCAGCACACAATCTTTAAAACACCCATCATAAGATAAAAGCTGTCAGTGAAACTTCTGGTTTTGTGGCTAATAGTCTTCCTAGCTCTCAGAACAACATGTGATTTTAACTGTTTAATCCTAGTTTTCCTTTAAGGCACAATATAGAAATTTAAGTAATTCTTTGCATGATCTCTTGTTAAATTCTGTTGTTGGCAACAGAAACCATCTCTCCCTCTGACAAAGTTAATGTTTGATAGCTTTGGTGGTTTAGATACACCAAATTTAATTTTGCCTTTTCTGAGTTTTGAGAAACCTGATTGTTTCCTCCTAGGGACAGGCAGCAGGGACATGTGCAATACCTGAAACGCTCAGAGATGTCTTGAAGAACCTCTTTAGCTCAGCTTCTCCATCTGTGGTGTTGAGTGTGAGGCCTGCAGATACAAAGGAGGTTCAGGTAAGTCTTGCTCCTGCCAAAATCCTTTGAGAAGCGTCCTCCTGCTTAGTGTTTTTATTACATATCCACGACTCACAAACGAGTAAGTTTAAGACTGTTGGGTGATCAGGAACAACTGGAGGAGATTTTTCGAAGCAACGTAGCCTTTGGCAGCGAGGGCTCTGTGATCACACTGCCCCCGTGGCTCTCTGTTGGCCTTACACCCCATTACACCCCGTTACACCCCGTTACACCCCATTACACCCGGTCTCGTCTCTGTTCCCCTACATCAGTGTGACACGAGCCCGGGGTGCTTTCACCTGCACAATCCCTCTTGTTCTGCTTGCCTTTTGCAGAATGTACAGAACACAAGCCTTCTCCCTCAGGCCACTAGTCCTCCCAAACCTCCAAGGGCTCACGAACTCAAGCTGCTGGTGAAGAACATCGCGGTAAACCCGACCCATCACCGTGCTGCAGGTAACGCAGCCCGTGAGGTGCTGCTCGTGTTCAGGCAGGGTTTGGATGGTTTGGTTTGGTTTTTTTTTATCCTTTCGGGCGAAATAATTAGGAAGTTCTGGGTTACGACCTTCTCTCTCAAAAGGGAATTGCTTTACTCCGAGAAACAGACTTCATGGAATCATAGAACGGTTTGGATTGGAAGGGACCTTAAAGATCATCCTGTTCCAACCCCCCTGCCATAGGCAGGGACCCCTTTTACTGGACCAAGCCCCATCCAACCTGGCCTGGAACACTTCCAGGAGCGGGGCATCCACAGCTTCTCTGGGCAACTGGTGCCAGTGCTGACTTAGTCCTGCTTGTGCAGGTTTTGGCTTATGCTGTTGGCAGTGACATTGGTTTGATTCAGTGTTATCTTATTTTTACAGCTGCTTTTCTTTACTTCTGAGCAATTTGCTGGTTCATCTGAAACTCTCTTCCTCTGTGTAAACTCTTCAGGGGTGATCTTTTTTTGTCAGGATTTCTCCCCCTAAGGAAGTAGCTCTGGAGGTAGGGGAGGCAGTACCTCTTGCAAGTGGAGACTGAAGCCAGAAAGGAGGTCACTGCCTAGTGAAGTTACTGTATTGGTTTTGCAAAGCAGCACCAAGCCTGTCTTACAAGTACTCAGACTTCTCCAGGTGCAGTCAGGCCTCTGTTGCTGACTGAGGCACGAGGAGGAACATTTCAGGTTTTATCAGCAGAAATACAAATTTGAGGCTCTGTTATTTACAGTCACTAAACAGTTCTGTAACAGTCTTTTCAATGGAAGCTTTTGGCTGCTAAATTAGGCAGGGCACAAGTTTTGGATAAATATATCCTACTTGCTGTACTCCTTTTTTCAGTTAGACGTAATAGGTTTCTGCCCTAGACTCTTGCATAATGCTGCTTTGCTTATCCTGATTGGAAGTGATTCCCCTAAAAATTTCTGCAGGCTGTTTTTTCTTTCAAAAACAAATTATTTTTAAAGCAATTCTGGAACTCTGTGCTGTGAAATGTCCTCTATAAATAAAACTGTGCTGGAAACTGCAACCTGGTCTAGTGGCAAGTGTCCCTGCCAATGGCAGGGGGGTTTGGAACAAGATGATCTTTAAGATCCCTTCCAACCCAAACCATTCTATGATTCTGTGATTTGTTATTACTGTACAATTTTGTAGTGCAAATTAAGCTTTCCAAAAGAGCAAGTCATTTTGACTGCATTTAAAAGGTATGAGATGAGATACCTTTATGTGCATACAGTGCATAGAATAGAAGATTGACCTTATGAGAAACCTCTCTGCACCGTCCTTCAAAATGAGAGGAAGAGTGGACAATGAATGTGCTCTGTTCTGGGAACACAGATGTTGGGAGGCAAAATCCCCATGTGCTATTGTCAAAGGAGATGGAGGGAATTTTGCTGGTTCCTTGGCAACTCTGGGAGTGTAAACATTTGGAACTGAGTATGAGAAGCAAAACTTCACACCATGGTTTAGCTGGTACACTTGAGATCCAGTGGAAATACTGCACAGCTGGAAAGGTGCTATCTGCTGGACATAGCTTGCTGCCTTTTAATTACTGATCCTTTCCATTTTCCTGTCCTTATCTTGCCATAATTCATTATCCTGTTGGAACTCTGAGACCCCATAAGAGTGTGCAGTATTTCAGGCCAACCTGCATAGGTACATGGAGGGTTGGAGAGGGGCAGTTTGTCTGTCTTGACCATTTATCATCCATGATAATGATCATAAACCAAGTATGATTTATCATAAACCATGGATGCTAACATGGTTTATAGGAGCTTGTGGCTCTGCTGTTGATGTGTTAGTTCAGGTGGTGAATGACCAGTAGAAGAACTGGTCTCTGCTTATGGGCTGTGCCCATTTTTATCTCCTCGGTTTGTGTATGTAAACAAAGATTACCCTGGATTTTGCACTGCATAGTCCACAGGGAATCATCTAGGGCAAAAGTGATTTCTGCTGTTAAGGAAGAAGTTGTTGGTTGTTTACACCAGGGTGTGCAGGGCACAAATGCCACAGTCCCCTGCTGGCTACGGTCGGTGAGTGGCTCTGGTTGTAGTTTCAGGCAGAGCTGTGCAGGTCTTTCTGCCCTGGGCTGCTGAGCACAGGACAGGCTGCAGGGACATATGGCTGGGTGAGCAGAAACCACCCCAGGTTCATTAACTCAGGCTCAGCTCACTGGGAAAGCAGCTCAACTACTTACTCCAGGGTCAGCTTGGATCCCAAATAAGCTGCGTGTACGCGGTGCTTTGTCTCCTCTAATAACCTTGCCAGGCCCAAGCTGCCTCTGTGCCTGAGACAGGGATGATCCACAGCCCTGAGTCATCAGCAGAGGACAGCTGAGAGCTGATGATAGTAAATATAAACCAGTAAATATTCTGGAGAACTGGAGGCAGCATCTTTTGTTTGCTTTGCACGCAGTTAGTACTGAGCTTTTTTTGTCGCTTTCCTTGATAGTTTGGAACTCTGGGTCTGAAATTTTTTTCCGAGGCTGTGAAAGCCTTACAAAAGAAGTTGTTTTAAGAGCAACACATTTTGCAAACTATTTCCCCCCATGGAGCAGCAATATGACTACTCTAATACGCCAATTTGCCACACTATCAAATTCCAAGATCAAGGCAGAGATAAGGCTGCAGCAGTGCTTTAAAATGCCACGAACTTGTTAAAAACCGCAGTCCACAGAGCCATTGTGAATTAGCACTGCTGTCATCAGTCACTTGCCAGCAGAGAAAGCTTGTTTCCATGTCCAAATAAACCGCTGTGACTCTGGTCAGTGGGGACTTCAAAAACTTCTGGGTTTCTTAAGGCAGCTGGAGGCAACTTTGCTCCCTCCCTGCCTCACACCCACACCGCCACCTCCTCACCGGGCTGTCTCCCCACCCTTTTTGATCTCTTTATGCCTTCACTTTCTTGCTTCACGCCAGAATTTAAATTGGGTTGTCATGTTTCACACTGTGTAGAGCAGCACATAAGACACTGGTGATGCAATGTTGACCTTTGCCATTAATGTTGTGGCTGTACAAACCAAGGGAGGGAGTTTATTCTGTGGGAGGGTGAGAAAGTGTTTGCAACAGTCTGTTCTGAAGTGCAGGATGCAATGAAAGGGGTTCTTTGCTTTCTTTTGGGTAAGTGGCCTCTTGCTGGTGCAGTATTAATGGCTTGGTTTTTCTTGCCCTCACAGGCAGCACAGACCTTGTGTGTATAGCTCAGTTGAATGACCCTATGCAGAAGTTTTCCAGCTCTGTAGCCAAAAATGCTGCACATCCCTTTTGGAAGGAAGAGTTTATCTTGTAAGTAACTTACCTACTGAGAATACTTTTGCAGTAAAGCATCTTTTTGTACTTGAACTGTATGAGGGGAGAGTGGCATTTGGAAATACAACCAGTTGGGTGGCCTCAGAGAAATCTGGAGCTGACGAGGACTTCAGGATATCTAATTACCCTCTGCATGGACATGAGATCAAGTAGGTCTCTAGATCATCCGTGGCAGGTATCAGATTCTAGTAAATGACAGCAATAACAGGCATAATAGATCACCCTGTGCTTTCATACAGTGCCAAACCAAAGTGTTAGCAAGGTTTTGAAGTCACTTTACCTTGAAAACTGCTTTTGAGGGAATGTAATGTCTCTCCATTCACTCCCCTGAGTGGAAAAAGTAAATGTGCAAAAACGATTGACCATCTGAAAGAATGGTGGCTGTGACTGAAAAGGGAGGGTAAAACTTAACTAGCTTTTTTTATTCCTGTAGAGCAAAAATGGGACTTTTGGGCAGCCTACATGGTGTTCTGTGATTCACACAGTTGCTGTAAATAAGGTCAAAAGGGAGCAGTTCTAAAGCTATTTTCATTTTCACTTTTGAACAGCAGAGCAAAAATACCTGGTAGCTTCTGTATGTATGAGTTTAGGAAGGAGGAATCACTGATGGCAGGGTAGGTCAGAGGATGTTCCTTTAGTGGCTTTAAGCACATGCACAGTCAGGCAGAAGCAGGTTTCCAAGGGAATTGTGTAGAATTGTGTATGCTGCCATACAACATACTGCAGACACTGCTTTCTTATTTTTTCTACCAGATTATCAAGGTGAGAGGCACTTTACATGCAGTGGGGTCTCTCTGTTTTTTTCTGTAGCTTCCCTCTTCTATCTCAGTTCCATTCTTCTTTACATATATATAAAAAATACATATTTTTTATATGAGAGTAATGCTGCATGGTTTTGTGTGACATTTTTCTTCATTGTCTAGTCACAGCCTGGCATCCACTGGATCTGTTCCTTCTCTTGCAAAGCAGAGATTTGGTTACAAGGAACTGAACCTGTGCCTGTCTGTGCTCTCTTCCTCGAGGAGTGATGTACTCCTCCTCACCTTTGACCAGTCCTCACAAGCTGTACAGGGCTTGGAGAACACCCCTCTGCATGTGCAGGGAATGTTGATGATCAGAAGTCACTGTAGTTAGCAAAGAAACAGTGATATTGTAGAACAACACTGGAAGGCCTCCACCTTTCTATGTGGCCTGATGGAGGTGTGTGCACCTGGTTCCTGCTGTTCAGTGGAAAACCACCCAGGAAGCTTTATCCCTTCAACCAACAATTTGTAAGGTCTGATTTCAGTTATGAGCAGCTACAGCTTTGGAAGAAAGCCACAGACCAGACAACCTTCTTCTGTGACACTGTGCTGTGTTGCCATCGAGACTTAAGGATTAACATGATGTGATTTCTTCTCCGTGGTGGGAAGGGGAGAATTGCCCTTCTGTTGCAACTTTCTGTTCTGGAGCATCACAGAGTGCTGCAGCCACCAGTGGGTCTGTGAATCACTTCAGCCATCTGTTGGTGGAACAGCACCCGTGCTCGATGCTGCAGAGCAGACAGGTTCCCAGCAGTTTTGGGCAGGAAGTTTGTGAGAATAATACCCTTTCTAACTGAAAGTGCAGACAGAGGGCAGGCAGGATGTGATTAACTTGACTGGAATTTGGCCTTGACACCAGGGATAATGCTGGGGTTTCCACACTGCTTTTCAGAAGTGCATGAGGTAAGCCTGGGGACTTTTACAGATGAGTGATTAGGATTTTGGCAGGATTTTTTCTGAACTTCATTCAAGTTCATGGACACGCACCTCTGCCCTTTTCTTTCTTCACAGCCAAAAATATCCTCCACTCTGAGGACCAGTGTACTGAACACCATGTCAGGCTCTGCTTTAGCTTTGTGGCAAAAGCAGCAAGAGTACCAACAAAGTGCTTCCTTTCAAGTTTTGGAGGTGCAGGAGAGGGTGGTAGTGGCAGGGAAAAGCTTAAAATGTGCTGCATAGATGGTGTCCCACAGAATCTAATGGAGGTGGGATGTTTGCAACCAAAAAGACATAGCAAAATAAAATACATATATGCCCTTAGGGTTTTTGGCAGAACACCCACTGAGAAGGTTATAAAACAAAGTTTTACTGGAGGGTTCCTCAGTAGGTACCCAGTTTGCTTCACTGTCTCAGTCAGAGGAAAGGTTTTGTGTCTGTTTTCTGGTCCCTCTTGTGAAGTGCCACATATGCCAGTAATTCTGTCAATAGTTCACACTGTTCCTGTCACACAGAAATCAATTCTTGCAACATCCCTGTTGCTTTTCCTTATTTTGGAAAAGCAATATTGACTCTTCTCACTTAAAACTATAATTACCTTTATTTTCTTGCGTCTATCCTGTTTTTGCAAGACACTTTCCTGCTTTGACAAGGGAACCCCACAGCTTTGAATGGGTTTTTGGAAGAACCTGTTCCAGCATCTTGACTTACAATATTGATCCTTCAGGGAAAAAAAAAAAGCTTCTTAGTGCTGTGGTGTAATTGTCAGACCAGGGACCAACATCAGCTTGGAGGGCAGTGTTTGTCAGCTGCTGGGGAGAAGAGCCTCTGAAATTTTAGGAGATTGAACCTGTGCCTCAGTGGTGGAGGGAACCAGGCCATGGTTTTCTGACTGTGATCCCTTTAGGGAGGCTTACCTGTGTGCCCAGCAGCCTGGCAGTGCCACCTCCCTAATCAGCAAGGTGCACTTGCTTGGCATTGGAGAGGGCTGAGAAAAGCTGGGGAACAGGGAAAAACCTAAGTAGGGAGGAAAATCTGCTTTCCTGCCAAGTCCTAACGTGGTTTTGTTTACTTCACAGTGAACTAAGTGCCAAATCAAAAGCATTGCAACTGCAAATAGTAGAAGATGGAAAGATGGATAGTAAGTATTAAGACTGAATTGCTTTGCATGATCAGCTTGTGAGCTTTGCTGACTGTTGACAAGTCCCCTTTTAGTTCTGGATGGCCAAACTGATGGTCACACCCATCAGTAACTGTGGATAGAAGAGAGAATACACTGGTCAGGTGCCTCTGTCCTGCTCTGGGTTAAGGTTACAGAGAATCTTTTGAGTTTCTTTCTAGACTCTCAACATACTGAGTCTTCCATGTACTGATATCCTATATTTTTCAGCCTTCCAAACTTCTAACAGATCCACTGTGAGCCTTTTTGGTTTCAAGTTAAGCTTTCGAGGCCTTTCTGTGGCTGAAGGGGAATCTTGAGTGTTAATCCTAAATCCTTCCTTTTCAAGCCCCAGAGGCTGCCTAAAAATTATCAGATATAAAACATGCTCATTCTGATTATATTGGATTAAATGTAAAAGGGGGCTGAAGCCTTTTTGCTGCTTGATTCTGTTGTTGCAGAATTATTTTTAATAATCTAGATATACAGACTTGTGTGATACCTTGCATATGATCTGCAATTATTGGAGGGATTGGAAAGTTGAATGTGGGCACAAGCTTGAAAAAAATTCTCTGATATGGATGCAGTTTTTTATTTTTAACAAAAATGTGGAATCTATATAGAGTCAAAAATAAAATCTATATAGAGTGGAATCTATACAGAGTCAACAATTGTATGTTGTTCCTTGCACAAAGTTTAGTCTTGCCTGCACCTAAGCATCTTTAACAATGGATCTTGCAAACAACACCAGTAATGTTCCACATCCTACTGAGGGTGTGACTGTCAGCCTGTTTTCCTGAAGAAAAGGGTCCCAGTGGCTTGCACTGACATTTGTCTTCCTGCCCCTCTGCCCCCCCCATACCAGCTTAGCTGTTCTTCTTCCCAAAATTTGAATAGGAGACTCAAAGTAGAATCATATTAACGAGCAGAGAGCTGAGTAATGTGAATATAATGTAGTTCCCTACTTGTCTTTGAATTTCACAGAAAACTAGGATTTCATCTCTGAAATCATGCAGGACTTTTGCTATTAGTTTGCTGTTAAATCTTGTGGAGCTGAAAAAAGTCAGGAGAGGAACAAGAGAACTGCTGAACTTGCACTGGAGTTCAAATTGAGAAAGACAGTGATGCACCAGTCTAGCAGGAATCCAGAGCGTTCTCTGGAATGAAAGATGCAGGTAGCTGGTTGTGGGGACTGTTCAAGGACCTAATAGGAATATTTCTAGTTGTTTTCTTTTTCCCTAAACATTCTGCGTATACAGGGAAAAACAGTGGCCAGAAATAGTAGTAAATATTAGTAAATAGTAGTATTTAATTTCTCCATTCTTTCCTGTTGCACAGTATTAGGCCAGGCTGAGGAACAGCCATAAAATGGAAAGAAAACTGTGAAAAGTGCCAGGTTTCTGCCCCGTGGTGTAGAACCAGTTTCTGGAATTAGCTGCCTGTGCTCTTCCTCCCCTTTTCCCATCACCCCCCGCCTTAAACATACTCACAGCTAAGGTGTGCACTGATTTTCTTGATTTTCTTTGTTCCAGGTCCTTTATCCGGGAAGGTGACTGTACCTCTGGACTTGTTCAGGAAACAACCCTCTGGCCAGCAAAGCTTTGCCCTGAACAGTGAGGCCAGTGAGGGCAGCTCGGAGCCAGGGCCCGGGCTGGGATCCATCAGTGCAGAGGTACTGCTGGGTTTGGATGGGTTTGGGCTGGATCTTTTGCCTCTGGAAGTATAATCAAGTGCTTATCTTGTGCTTGTGGCTGAGCCAGAGTAGCACACACTGATTGTGCAGTGTTTGTGTCTCACCAAAAGAATGAGCTCTTGAGTTTGGCTCTTGAGCATCAGCAAAAACATTAAAGAAGTACTAGGTGGAAATACTGTCCTTCTTCCTTGACTGTGCTTCTAAGGTGACTTTTTTTTCCTGTCTCCTTAGTTCTCTTTTATAGAACCCAATGAACTGAAGACAAGGCAAGTCTCCTCCCCAGTGCTGGCCACCAAGATAGAAAAGGATCGCACTGTGATGCCCTGTGGGACTGTGGTCACTACTGTCACTGCTGTGAGAACCAAACCTCGTCTGGAAGGGAGAGCATCTCCCCTGAGCACAGGTGAGGGGCTCCAGTTCTTCCTGTGCTCACTCACAGGGTTATCCATGGGCCCTGGGAGAAGTGCTGTGGGGGGGGATGTAAGGAGAGAGTTCTCTGATGTGTTGGAGTGGGGTTGCTCTTTGTGTCCTCTGGAATCAGGTTTTTAATTTTCAGGGAACCTTGTTCTTACAAGAGGAACAGTTAATGCTTCTTTTAATACACACTGTAAAACTTCACAGTAGGGTGATAATGCAGAAGACCTGGATTTTGGAGGGTGGTTTTTCACATGACAAATGTATCAGACTCTCAGGGTGTTTGCTGATGACAGACCATCCTGTGCCTTCTAACCTTGATCTGTGTTATCATTTCTAATGAAGGTGGGTGTGTGGCAAAGTCCTTTTCAGCATGTCTTTTAGGAGTAGATTTTCCAGTTCTTCTTGGGATAAATATGAAAGTAAAACCTGTGAACAGTCTTGATATGAAGTCTCACAAAGACGAGCATTAAGTTGTTCAAGCAGATATTTTACTTAAGTGTCATCTAGCATATTACAGTAGAAGGTTTAAAAACAATAAATTCCTACACTTCACAGGTCTTTCTGGGGTCAGGTTACCATAGAACATGTGTTGAGAATGTGTATTAAACAGCTTTCTTAAACACTTATGTTTTGAACAGACACAACAGGTATAATAAATTCTTATTGATGTCATAAAAAATGTCTCAAATAGTTCAAATAACCAAAAAACTTGGTCCTCAGATTCTCCTGTGAAAACTCCAGTTAAAGTAAAGGTGTCTGAAAAGGATTTCTCTGTTGAAGCTCTCCATTCTCATGGTGCTCCAGTCAGCAAAACTTTGTCATCTTCGGACACAGGTAATTGAAATATTCAAAGGTGCTAATGAGGACATGTCTCTCTCTGCTGCACGTGGGATTAATGTGATCCTGTTAAAATAACAGCCAACCCATATGGCTGCTGCCTGTCAGCAGCACTGAGATGTTTATGTTACAAAGCACTGTGGTTAAGGGATATGGCAGTCTTGCAGTAAAAGTCTGTTTTTCATTGGCAATTTAAATGACTGGGTTTGAATAAATAACAATGAGCTGTGGTTTGGAGGGGGGAGGTGACTGCAGAAAAGCCAGGCTGTGTTTTCTTTTACTTTTTAGTGAAAGATTCCTCCTTTCATAAAGGCATGGGGGATGCTGCACAAAATCAAAACCCTGTGACAAGAACCTCTTAAGGCCATTGTGAAGTCCCCTCTGTCTGAAGAGAACACAGGGGGTGGACTGATGTAAGGAAGACTGAATTCTCTTCCTAGCCTTAATCCTGGGCTTTTTTGGGGGCTAATGCAAATACCCAATCTTGCTGTGCCTGTTTGTCCACCTTCCTAAGTCACCTGGCATACAGGTGCCTGCACAGTGGCAGGTGGCATTGATAATAACTTTAATTATAAATTCACTTTGAATTGTATTAAGTCTGATCTTGGCTCTGGGTTGTTTTACCCTTGCAAGCTGCAACTCTGAATCTTCTGCATCTTCTTCAGTCCTGTGTGTGGTCACCACTGAGTCTTTCAGTAGCTCTGTGGGCAACAGGAATAAAAGACATGACCCAGTCTGGCTGCCAATGACACATAATGTGGAGTTAAGATTGCTCTGTAGGGATTTCAGTGGAGATGGGACAACTGGAGATGATCTAGACTGCTCCTGGCAGAGTCAGAAGGTTTGCTGAGAGACAGAAATGGGGCCAACAGATATGGGGAAGAGCATGAAGCACTAACCATGAGCAGCTGTAATAGCACTTGAATCTTTTCCCACCTCCAGGCTAACAAGTGCTGTGATACCATGAAGCAATATGGAATATTACTGCCTCAATTTGGGAAATGTTGAGACAGTGCAGTACTTCTGAGTTGACTCCCTTAAGCATTTATGATATTAAAGACACAAAACACTTACTGGAAAACTCATCTGAAGGCAGCTTAGACCCTAATGGTACAGACAGTGTTTTTAATGGGAGTGCAGGGGAATTTCTGTGAAATGTTTGTGCAGTACAGCAGGAAGAATTACTCATTAGAAGGAAAGGTTAAGCCAAATGAAAGAAACACAAAGAAGCTTTTGGTATGGCGGTAACTTGGGTAACAGTTATCATAAACACCATGGCAAAACTGGAATAAGCACTCTGGAAAAGGTGCTGTGTCGGTGCCATGGTTCTAAGTGATGACAGTAATGAGAATTAACAAGTGCCTGGATGGTCTCAGCTCTTCCTGGGGGCTTTGCAGAGGCTGGGGAGATGGAAAAGTAAAGGTTTATGATGAGTGTGCAGACATGCACATCCCCTGTGCACACATATACTCTTAAATTCCAGGCCTCATCTTTTATTGCATTAATGTCACAGTAACAAAAGACACTGCTCAATTTAATTAACACTGGTGATATCCCTGCCTCTGTTTTTTGGTTTGTTTTTTTTTTTTGCTGTTAAAACTCTTAGCCAAAAAGCTCACCTCAGACAATCAAATATGGGGATTTTTGTCTTGCTGACTTTCTCTGCCTGGTTTGTTCCTCAGCTTGATGAATTATCAGTGTGTGTTTGCTGTGCCCAAAGTACTTTGCATTACCAGACGCCAGAATTGGCCATGCTTAAAAATAAATGTGTTTGTCACTAAAGAGCATTTTATAAAGAAGGTTTTACGTTCCTGTGCAATGTTTGGAGGGGAGAAAGGGGGGGTGCACTTTATAGGCTTTGGAGGCAGCTGATGAAGAGCAGAGTGACTGACACTTTGCCCTCCCCATCCTAGCAAAGTGCCATAGCAAATTTGGAAATGCTGAGCAAGGATGTCTGGAAAAAGAGCAAAATAGCTACCTGAGGAAGCAGTATCATGCACCAGCTTTGCACCATGTTCCTAGTGACTTTGATACCTGATGCTCTCACCACTGTCATCACAGTGTAACAGTGCATTGAAATAATCTGATGTGTTGTCTAGGCTTCCAGAAAAACTCCTTTGTGCTCAGGGAGAGGGTTTGTAAGTGCAGCTTCAGTTCCTTTTCTCCAAAAAAAGGGTTATGGGAGGGAAAGACAAGACCTGATTGCCGGGTGGTGAACTGGAAGATGTTTTGGTGTGCCTGGTGTTTGTACCATTTCTGCCAAGTCCTGTGAATTTTAAGTCAAGAACAAACTCCGCCTCTCTTTGCTCTGTTTTTTTCCTGTTTTTTTCCTTTCTCCCCTCTGAAATAATCCTTTCTTTCCAGAGCTGCTGGTACTGAATGGCACAGATCCTGTGGCAGAAGCAGCCATTCGGCAGCTGAGCGAGTCTGCAAAGCAGAAGCTGAAGTCTCCTAGAAAGAAAAGCACCATTATCATATCAGGGGTGTCCAAGGTAGAGCAGAAAACAACCCTTACATTATTATGTTAGAAAAAGCCTTTGCTCCACTGACTGTGGCATGAACGTGGGTTCTGCTGTCTCTGCAGAATCCAGGTCTGCGTGCCAGGTTGTTTCTGTAACTGTTTCAAGTTAAGCCAAATCAGGGTTTTGATTGTTAGTTTTGACAGCCTGACTAAAATGCAAGGTGTGCTTGGATGGGAGTGGAATTATTAGGGATTTGGGAGAACAAATATGGGTGAGAACAGAAGATAATCAGTCTTTCGCTGTGTTTCACCCATGTAGGGAAGATGCACAGAAAAAGGAAAAAGATTTCTCTATTTATTTTTTTTTTGTTCAAAGCTGTTAAAACAAAACCTTCTGGAAAACCTCCTGGGCTCTGTTCCAGAGGGAGGGCAAACAGAAGACTGGTTTTCACATGGTATATAGCATTCCTCCAGACTTTCTTCATCCACAGCCTCAGTGTCCTATTTGATGGCTGGTGCCTGCCTGCAGTCCTTTCCCTGCAGGTTGCTCCATGGATCTGTGCTGTGCAGTGTTGCTGTAAGGCACAGGACCTCTAAAGAGCTCTGAGTGAAAGTCAGATCAGTGGGCATGGATCCCTTCATCATCACTGTGCTGTGATGAGGGGGAAAATGAGGATCAGCAGCCACAGTGCCAGATGTATCTGCCTGGGAAATGAAGGCACTGGGACTTCTTGGATTTGGTTTTAGCTGATACAGCTGACAAATCCTTCTATAAGATGAAATGCTTTGATGTTTCTTTTCTTAAAAGGACCAAAAGATTCTCTGTGTATGCTGATACTTCATTAGAGCAGCACATGTAGGAAAGAGTCCTATTGTTTGTAGTGGGGCCAGGGGTAGGTGAGGGGCACGTACTTAATTTATTTTATTTTCATTTATACGACCTTAATGACATGATTAAAACTTGGCTACGTGCTTCTTTAGTAAAGCTGAGGAAGCTTAAAGGGTCCTGAGCAATACAAGTATACAAGTGTAAAGAGGAGAAAATAACTTTTGCAGGGAGTCTTGCTTTCCTCCAGCAGAATGGCTCCTATCAGTGTTGTCTCTTATTTCCACTGGGCAGACCTCTTTATCTCAGGACAGTGAAGCTTCACTCATGATGGACTATGCTGCAGCCATGGACAGCTCCTGCAAAGAAGCAGATCCACCCCCTGTGGAGGAAGCTGTTGCAAAAACCACCCCTGATGAAAAGCTGTCGCTGGGTCCCTCAGAAACAGCACCTGACACCGACCCGCAGCACAGCACCCAGAAGGCCTGGGGTTTGGAGAACGGCAGCCAACAGTGGGACACCAGCACCCTCTTAGACCAGACCTCTGAAGAAATATCTGGGAGCTCACTGAGCGTTTCAGAAAGTGGGAGCATGAAAAAATCCAAAGGTACGTGATCCTTGCTTTCCACCTCAGTGACTGGCTGCTGTCTCTGCGTGATTGGCAGTCAGGCAGTGCTGTAGTAGTTCATCCTTTCTTGCTGATTTTTTTTGTCCTTGAACTCCGTGTGACTGTGGTGTTGGTTGAAGCTGTCTCACCAGCAGCACAAAGGGTACAGTCCACTGCTCTCTGAGCCAGCTCAGGCTCCCTCAGTCAGGAAGCAGAAGGGCAGCCCCATTAGCCCCATTACTGACATTAAAATGGTAGGGCTCACAGTTGCTTTTTACACATTCCTTCTCCTCCTTCACACCTCTGAGCTCAGGACTGCCCTCACTAAAGTGTGTGTTCAGGAAGCAGCTGAAGCAGAAACTGCCTTGTGAGCAGTTTCTCCCTTTTTCACTGATTTCATTAATATGTAGTTTGCTAAAGAAAATGGAATAAAAGGTAATTTAGTAAGTAAATAAAGCATCAGATCATTTTGCTTAGGTAGTTACACACCTGAATAGCTGCAGTTTGAAAGTGTCTTAGGATTCTTTGTGTTTCCTTGATAAATCCATTAACCTCTGAGCACTGGTTTGTGGCTATGTGGTATTAGGACTGTTAGGATGTCTGACACAAGGGCCAGTGCAGTGGACTGTGCCTTGAACAGGCACACACCAGTCTCATGGGCTGCACCTTGAAACTGAAAAAAATACTGTGTTTTTCACCCACATCCATCCCCCTTTTGCTTTATTATTTTCTCTTCCTTCCTTGCCCAGAGATCCTCACTACAAAACCTCACTATTTCACTTGATTATCACAAGCCCCCCCACGCAGGGCAGACACTGGAGCCCTTTGTCAGGGCCCTCCCTTAGAGCCTCGAGTTTCTCTGGCCTTCCCACAGCTGTGTTGCTCCACATGAGAGATCAGGGTGGCACAGCAACAATCCGTGTCACATACATGGTCAGGCACTGGAAAGTTTCGGGTGTGTTTGGGGTGAGGGTAGGGGGTTAGTTGTGAAGGGATTTGTTCCATTTTGGAGCCTGGAAGAGTTTAAGAAGCTGTAGGAGAGATTGCAAAACCTCTGGGCTCTTCTTTTGTTGTTCTAAAACAAGCAACTGCAAGTTTGTGTGTGAGCTGTTGTCTAGTTCTGTTTTTCCCTGTGCTGTGTGTTGCAAAGAGATCAGCCTTCTCAAGAGCCTTTTCACACAAAGCAGTGTAAGGCTGCTAAAAACTGCAAAGTATCTCTAATTTGAGAGAGTTGTATCATCTTAAAATAATACTTTAAGAAAACTGGCTCAAATCCCTTTCTTTATACACAGATGTCTTTGTGGAAGTCTTGAATCTCCGCTTTGTCACAGCTGAGTAGCTTTTGTGGAGTAAGATAGGAAAACATTCCCACCCCCCTGCCTTCAGTTAGCTGTGAACAGTTCAAGGTTTCTGTTTGTCAAATGCTTTCCCTTAAAAAAAACAAACAACAAAACCCCACAAACATATAAAACCCCTAACACAACAACAAAAAACCCAAACAAAACTGAAAGCCAACAAAACCCCTTCTGCTTTAAAAAAGCCTTGTATCTGTATTAATGTCTTAAGGTTAGCACTGGTTTTTTTTTTTACTCTTGCATATTTTTGTTTGGTGTTTTTTTTTACCTTTCTGACTTCCTCTTTCTTACCCATTCCCTTTTATAAACTTAAGAGGACTACTATGCCAGCCAGAATTAATTACCCACACAGTAAGTTGGTTTTGTGTATTTTTTTTTTCCCTAAGAAAATGTAGCTTTACAATGGGACACTCATTGTAAAAAACCGAAGCAAAACATAGTTTGGCACCTGTTTTCTTCTTCCCCCATCCACTTCTTTCCTCCTTCCAAAATTACCTTCCTGTGCTCAAGTGTCTCAGCAGATTAGTCTGCTGTAGCAAATTATTCTTCTGGTGGTCATGCTGTTCAGGTGGGTCACACAGGAATCTCAGCAAGGAAGGCTTGGAGGGGTGCTCTGCATTCCTAATCTCTCTCCATCGTGCCCATTCCTGTAACATCTGATAATCAATCAAACTCTGCTCATGCAAACCACGTGTGACCCCATAACTGGATATACATGGGCGAAAAACTTACTTTAAAACCTGCTGCTTACAGTTTTCTAGGTAAAGCTTTTCTACCCTAGCTTGCAGAGCTACCAGGGCCTCAGCAGGTATCTGCAGAACCACCTGTGTAAAAGCTGTTTTGGAAGTTGGGAAGGAATGGAAAGCAATCTCTATTCATATCCTTGTAGATGTGAAAGGAAATCTTCCTTGATTAACAGAAATGACATTCAGAAGTGATCATAGCCCCACAAGCATTTTCAGCACACCCTAAACTAGTGCAGAGGAGCCTGTGTAGCCCAGCCAGCTCATACAGTAAGCTCTCTGCTCATCTCCTGGTGTTAGGGGCAGAGCTGGCATATGGATCCTGTTGGACTCGAGAAGTGAGCATGCAAATAGCACGAGCATTGCCAAGCTGGGGATGTGCCCTGCTCTGCCTCCCTGGCAGGGCTGCATGTCTCCACAGCAGCTGGAGCCACTGCCAGGCAGCACACACCAAACTGGTACAGACTGATGGGGATGTGGCAAGCTTCCAGACAGCCGTGACCTCAGCACCTCCAAAAAACACAGGGAGCTTTCATGCTTGGGGACTGCTGCTTGTGCTGAGCCTCGGGGGAGCTCTGCCCACGATTTTTCGGCTGCAGTGAGTTGTCCCAGGCCACCCATTTTCACAGCATTCTTGGTTCGGTTCTGACTCCTGCTGTGGAAAGTCAGTCTGAATCACAGAATGGATAGGACTACACATCTGCTTATGGATAAGCCTTTCTGCCCTGCTCCTGCTGGCACAGCTTCAGCTGCAGCTGCCAGGGCTGCTGGGCAGAACAGCTGCCTGCTCAAACAAGAGCGGCACAGCAGCGAGGCCTCGTGGATCCCCCCCAGCCTTCGCATATTAAATACAACTGTCAGTGCCCTGGGGTTGAACACTGCTTCTTTTATGCTGCTGACAACAGCTTGAAGTGGTGCTGCCTTGCCAAAAAGATCGATCAGAGGGTGATGGGAGGGCGGTCAAGATTCAGATCCACGAGTTCCAGTTGCTTTCAGCTGATTTCTGCTTCATCCCTGTGAGAAGCATCTTGGCAGCCGGCAGGCACAAAAACATGCCGGAATATCCTCCCAGGTGCTGAGCCTGTAAAGTAATAAACCCAAGCACATGTTTGCAAGTGCCTTGGTGTGAACAAAGCAACGTTTGGCTGCGTGCAGCAGAGCTGCCATGAAATACCTGTTCTGCAGCTGTCGCTGTGCAAAGTGACACGGGGCCCGTGCCGGGTCCTTGGGGGACAAACACGTAATTCTAGCTGTGGCACAGCATTGCATGAAAGAACCGGTCTGTGTGTTGCTTTTTGTATCCATCTGCAATGGGAGGAAAAGCAGAGTCAAGACCATGCAGCGACAGGAATTAACAGCCGGGCTGAGAAAGAATGAGGAAACCTGATAGTGGTGCCGGGAGCAAGGTGTGGAAGCTTTGCCAGGGAGATGGCTGTCCTCACCTACTGGTCTGACTGCCAGAAGGCTCCTGTGTTGGCTTGCTACCTGGGTCCTCCTCTGTTCAAATTGGCTCCTGCCACCTGGGACAACACCAGCACCCAATTCTGCACCAGACTTTTCCTTTTAAACGTGGAGCTGATGTCCCCACACCTGGTAGCCTGGAGCAGTGTCCCTGCCAGCTGCAGCCGAGCTGCCTTGCACGTCAGGCACACATGCACACGTGGAAAAGGAAGGTGGAATTTGGCAGAACGGCTGCAAAAAACAAGCCAGGCTTGCAAGGAGAGGAGTGCTGGTAGCTGGTGCTGGCAGCATGGGTCCCTGGTGAGGTGACAGCTGCAGTTGCCTTGGCTGCATGCTGGGTTTTGACATGGGATCAAGGGAAGGAATACAGGAAAATACAGCAACTTAATTTACCGCAGAAGGGGTTTGGGCGGATTGCTGAACCTGTTGGAAGCAGATGTAATATTATTTTTAATCTGCTTGAAGTGAGTTGCTATTCCTAACAGGATTTTAAAATAGCAAATGCTTCCTGAGTGTTGCTGTGGGTGGTGCTGTTGAATTCATGTAGAACACCTGCTGCCTGGCTTCTCTGAGCCCAGTGCACACAGGTTCAATGCCAGGTACTGTTCTCTTTCCCCTCAAATTGAAATGCCACCTTCGTGTGGTGTATCACAGGCCGATCTTTTCCTCCTTTGATCTCTGAAACAACAAAGAGTAGTAACATTACCTCCTCTCTTCCATTCTTTTTGCAAAATACTTTCTCCCTTTACTGGTTGGAAGGATTTGCTCTGCCTCTTGGACACGTGAGAACCCAGTGTACAACCCACACCAGTGGCTGTGCATGTGTGTATGACCACTAACGCAGCTTTCAGAGGAGCATCTGAAACTAAGGGTGTGTAAGGACGGAAACTTCCACAAGATGTGTGGATTGACTTTAGAAGCTGAAATCAAAGGTCAGCTTTGTTTAGTCAGGCTGCCACTGAAGCTGAACTTCAAGAGGGAAAGCAGCCTGTTCTTTCTCAAGTGTCCTTTTTTCTTCCTTCCCGCAGGTGGGATTCTGAAAAAAAGCGCAAAGCTCTTTTTCCGCCGGCAGCACCATCAGAAGGATCCTGGAATGAGCCAATCCCACAACGACCTCGTGTACCTGCAGCAGCCCCTGTCAGAGGAGAGCCGCAAGAAGGGAGGCACCCTGTCCCGGATCCTGAGCAGGAAGCTGCTTTCCAGGAACAAAAGCAAGAGCAAACTGAACGGTGCGCCGGGAGAACCGTACATATAAGACCGGACCCTCTCTGCTGGGATCCTTGCACATCAGTTGAGCATTTGTTTACAGAGCAGTGCTAGAGAGTACAAATATGGCTGGTGACTTGCGTAAAAGGATGTTCACTAATACAGTGGTCTTTTTTTCGTTTGTTTTTCCAAAACGCTTTTTCTCTCTGATGATGAAGTTGCTCCTCCAAATGCAAGCAGTGCTGCATTAATCGTGAAGGCTTTGGAGAACCACGTGGTTTATTGTGGAAGATGAGGGAGGATGGGGAATGGGGCAGGTGGGGACCAAGAAGGCCACTGGTATCCTGGAGTGCATCAGGAAGAGCGCTGCCAGCAGGTCCTGGAAAGTGATCCTGCCCCTCTGCTCAGCCCTAACGAGGCAGATCTGCAGGGCTGTGTCCAGCTCTGGGCTCCTCAGGACAGGAGGGACATGGAGCTCTTGGAGCAGGTCCAGAGGAAGATGTGAAGATGCTGAAGGGATGGAGCATCTCTGGGAGCAGGAAAGGCTGAGGGAGCTGGGGCTGTTCAGCCTCCAGAGCAGACACTGAGAGGGGACCTCCCCCAGGTCTGTAGGGGCTGCAGGGAGGGGGCAGAGGATGGACCAGGCTCTGCTCGGGGGGGCCCAGCAATGGCACAAGAGGAACGGGCAGGAACTGATGCCCAGGAAGTTCCACTTGGACATGAGGAAGAACTTCTTTGCTAGGCAGTGACCCAGCACTGAACAGATTGTCCAGAGAGGGTGTGGAGTCTCCCTCACTGGGGATATTCCAGAACTGTCTGGACACAATCCTGTGCCATGTGCTCTGGGATGACCCTGCTGGAGCAGGGAGGCTGGACCAGATGACCCACTGTGGTCCCTTCCATCCTGACCCACTCCGTGGGGAGGACCCACATGTGAGCACCTGGTTTATGTTAATGGAGAGCTCAGAACTGAAACATTGTCCCTGGGTTACGTGACTGAACCACTACAGAGAGAGAAGACACCACTGTGCTCCCTCACTGCAGCCTGCAACAGTAGCAATGCAGGGCTCAACTGATTTTTCTAGTCAGGCTGAAAGGGAAAAAAAAAAAAAAAAGAGACCCAGATCCAGTTTGTATTGTAATGTGGAAACGGGTAAGTTTTCAGAAGCAGAAGGAAAATGCTGATTCAGATATCCTACTGTAATAACTGTAGCCTGCTGTAATAACTGCTCGGTCCATGTAGGTGGAGAGATGCCTTTGATATTAGCCATAAATCAATAAATTATGCAAATATCTGTACTAGCATATTGTTTAATGTTCTGTGCAGAAGTTATGCTTAACAAAACAGAACTTTTTTTTTTTTTTCAAAGTTTACTTGAGTCTACTCGCAAACAACACATTTACCAAGTCTTATATATGTAGCTTTCCTTCCCTGTGTGAGAAGCTGCACTGCTGATGCAAAAACCTGTCTTAGGGGCTCTAATTCCTTCTCCCAATACTTGTTAGACAAGTATATTAACCATCATATCAAATGCAAAGCTAGGAGCAATAAGTGGTGAATAGAGCATAGTTAACCCTACAGTGCTTTTCATTAGACAGCCTGTTTTACTTGCCAAACACTTACTGAGATCTTAAAAAACACAGTTGTGAAGAAAGCTTTTGAAAAAATAATAACAATTCCCTTAGTTCAGTTTCAGTTTCTAGGTCTGCCAGTGTTGTCATGTGGTGAGTGGTTGGTCAGATGAGTTTTTTAACTTTTTCTCCTTGTTAAATATTGCAGCTGGCTCCTTTAAATTAAAATGAAAAACTGATGGAAGTAAAGGCATGGTTCTTGTTTTGGCTATCAAGAGTAAAATGTCAGTCTTTCATAGGTACCATCTTTTGTGCTTACCTGTACTTTTCCATGATCTACATTCCTGCTGAGGACAAAGGACCAAGCCTGTTCTCTTTGGCCAAGAAAAACATCCATTCATTCCATCTAAATTACTGAAATGAATGGATGATAGATTGGTGCCTACTTTGCCAATAGTGATTTTCCCCCTGGCCCCTTTCCTCCCCTTAAGCTGTCCCAGCTCTTTGGCAGATATTTGGGCTTTCAATTTAAATGATTCATCAAAAATAGAAAGTCACAGAGGAATAGAAACACATTTCAAAACTTCTGATGGACTCAAGATTCTTTGGTAAATACTTGTACAATGAATATCAAAGTAGAGGGGGGTTGGTTTCTTTTCGACCACGAAAATATTGGAGGAACTGTCAGAACTGTCAGAATCTTTTAACTGTGTAAAAATACTGTTTATGTGTAACCTCCAAAAATCACTGTGGTAGTACAGCAGACCAGACTATCAAATAGTTGTATGTTTAAGGATGCTGCTTATCATGAAAACACTTGAAGGCATTTTAAGTTCTGTATTTTGAAAATTGGTTACAGATGAATCTTCTAGAGCTGTAATGTGCTTAGAAATCCCAGTTCAGTAATACAGGCTTGTCCAGCTTGAATCTGCTTGAACACTTTTGTTTATTGTTAATTTACTGCAGAGTTGGTTTCATCATTTGTTCTGCAGTGTTTCATGGTATGAGCAGTAAAACCCCTGATGTCCTGTTCTCTAAAACATACATCTTTTCCCTTGATTTTACTTGGAGCTCTCTGCATGACAGGGCAGGGTGGGGGTCAAGTCCCTGCCACGTTTAAATGCTCGGTCTTGTTTGCTGAAGGAGAAAACCACAACTGGCCTCCCAGTTGAAGAAATCAAACTGAGCTCCGTGGGTAGCAACACCTTTACCCTAAAAACAAAGACCTGTGGAACTGGGAATGCAGAAGCAGTAACACTGCTTGAAGTCTTGCTGAAGTTACTGAACTGGGATTTTCATTCACAGAAGCTTTAGCTTGTACTGTAGAACGAGGTGGAAATAACACCAAGTAACTTCCAGATTACAGGAGTAGGGCTTGCTCCTAGCTTACCCCAAAGAATAGACGCACACTGAAGATGTGATTTTTTTTTTTGGTTCCTCTTAAGGCCTTGGTGATCACCTAAATGCTTGTCTTGATGGTGGGAACCAAGAACATTCTATACTACGAAGTGTGTGAAGGTCTGAGCTCTAATGTATGGAAAGACAATGAATTCTTAAGATGAGGAAAGCAAGGCATTTGGGGTAAAAAGGGAATCTTGTTTTTTTTTTACTTGCCTTCACTCCTCAGGAAAATAAACATCGTTTGGTTTGATTAACTGGCTGGTTCTATCTATATCTGGCTGGTGTGTTCCTCACCTCTTCCTACTCCCCTGCAAATAACTTATGTCCTGTTGTAAAAACAAGCTGAGGTACTAAACACAGAGGGACAATTGAGTTGCTCAGTCTTGACAACCCCAAAGGCCCAGAATATTGAATCCCATTCCCCCCCTTCTGAGACAATTAGGTTGTCATTTAAGATCAGGAGATCTGAGGATGTACATTTTTGGGGTACTAATATTTAGGTCAGTGTGAGCTGGATCCTGACAACCAGTGGTATCTACACTGCTGGTTTGGGTTGGGAAGACTGGATTTGTCAACTGGCACAACTAACACTGTGACATATCCTGCATGTGTCCTGTGCAGTTGTGTGAAGGATGCCAGAGGGAATCACTTTGCTTTTTTATGTTTTGCCATCTTCATGATTTTGATAGCTATGCATTTGAATAGTAGATGAAATCTCTACAGAATATTATAACACAGAAGACTTCTTGTTTTCTGCCTTCCAGTTTAATGTCAGAACAATAGCTTGGAAACAACCTGTGAAAATACTTTTTCCTTTTCGTCCCTTTTCTCATACTTTTTTGTTTCTGGATGTTCTGTACAGCAAAGACAGCATGGTATTTATTTTATGAGGACTAAGAGATGAAGGCTGGTTTTTCCTTTCTGAAGAATTTTTCTGCCCATAGTTGAACCTTCCTAATCTATGTTTGTGGCTTGTTTTGCTTTATGGTGTTTGAACTTTTCATTTGCCTCAGTGGAGACAGCCTACATCCTTCCTAACCAAGATTTGCCTTGGCTTTAGTGTGAATTTTGACCAAGTAAATAGGACAAGAATTAAATTTCTCTTTGTAGATTAAAGCAATAAAACTGCCTAATATCTCCAGTGTGAATACAAGCCAGGTAACTTTTAAAAAGTGACTGAGGTCACTTTCAGAGTCACTTTGAAGAGGAGGGGGGCCTTCATCCCTAGATCATTGCTATTTCATCCCATTCACTCCAGGAAGAAATGACAGTCATTTCACTCCTAACAATATATGAAATTTGTGAATCTGAGGTGGCAGGAGGGAAGAGGAATGCCAGAGTGGAAAAAAGTTCATTTTAAAAGCAAATCACCTTTGGCAAACTTCTTCAGCTTAATGGACAGGCATAATGCAGGCATAAATACTGGGCTTTATTTTTATGCTGTCAGCTTTTCTTTTTTCCCTGCTCTTTCTTTGGGAGAGAAGTTGGGGCTCCAGGCCATATATAGACCTAGTTACTGTCTTGCTCTTGAGAGGACTTGGCTTACAGCACTGCTTCTTTTGAGGAAATTGCCTGGCAATGACACCAGTTTTGGGGATCAGTGAAATTTTACAGCCTTTCCTGGTACTGCATCTCCTCCCTGGTTCTAGGTGGTTTTCAAGTGAAAGCTTTCTGCTGTGTATTTCTTGTAAAGTTTTGGTGTTCTTGATGTGCAGAGTATCATAGGAAAAAGCAAAAGTCAACTACATAAAATGCTACCAAATGTGGATAGGGAAGCAAAATAAGAATTTTGCTCTTCTATCACCTTTTTCAGCTCTGGTAGCTCTTGGTTACAAGGAGCAAGAGCTCCATCCAAGGTGAGAGCTGCCTGGGTTTTTCACTTCAGTTTATTGCAGGTTTTGAATTGTAGGGCTGAAGTTTGAGACAAGTGCTTATCCTGGCACAGAATTAAGGCTCCAGGCGAAGACATTCCTGCTGTGAGTGGGAACAACTGACCTCATGCTTTGACCTCCACGGGATCTAAGTGGATTTATTCATGTGTTTAAAGTCAGCATATGCTTCTGTACATTGCTAAGCCACAGCCTTGGTGACAAACAACTCCAGATTAATTATATAACAAGGGTGATTGCTTTAAGTTAAGGGTGAATAATACCACTTCACTCAGGATATCCAAACTGCTACTATGCAAGGTGCTGGCATGGTGTGAAAATTACTGGGAAGGATGGATCTGGAGTCTTTCCAGTACTATAACTGTATTTCCCAATAATGTATTCTGCTCTGATATTCCGGGGGGGGGGTAAAACATTTTTTTCTAGCATCAAGTTGTGATGATCACTTCTTCTGTGGTGTTTGTTTCTTTTTTTCTTTGTGTACATGAATTTAAGTTGGTGCAATTAAGAAATATACGATGTACAGATTTATTATATCATTAAAAAAAAACCTGAGAAGAGGATTTTTTTAAAGAAGTAACTCTTGCTGTACATACAATAAAAGCCTATTGTCTCTGTGTAGTGTGCTGTCCTACATACCCAGCCAGCCAAGCATAACAGATGGATTTCTGCTCTCCTTCACTCATTTGACCTGTTGCTTAACACAGTCCATTTACCTGTTTGTTCAGGAGCAGAGTTCTCTACCTGCCCTGTGCTGACACTGTGGCTTGTTTCTGATAACCCTGTCCTATCAGGTGGCCCCTTGTTGCCTGAGAAATCACCTGAAACATGGATTGGGTGGGAATTTAATGGCGAGAAGGAATTGTGGAACTTGTTGTAGTTATTTATTATTCTTTCTCTCAGTTATGTTGTAATACCCTGAATTGGGGGGCAAAGGGGAAGGAGTGTTAAGGCCTTGATCCTGTGGAGAAGATGTCAGTACTAAAATAGAACAGCCTGGGAAATGAGGTTCTCTTGCAATTATTTTATTTTAAATGTTATGTTATAAATCAGTGCTGCCACAAAGCCCTACCAGATGGGGGGGGGGGACACACAGCAAAACTAAAACAACAGAACACACAGCCAACCAAAAAAATAATAGGCATTCACATGAAAATAGCCACAACAGTGTTTCTATTTCCCTTCCAAAAGTGAGTGCTGTCCCTTCTTTTACAAGGAAATATTATGTTTCCTTACTTGGGGTTACTGCTCACATTTACGTGCCTGTTTATTTCATTGCTTTGCTGAAAGTTCCTAATAGTCTCCCAACTTTTTCCTTTTCCTTCCTGCTCTAATCAGGGGAGAGGTTTTATACTTTGTGTGATGCCATTTCTGTACATTAGCAAAAGTGACAAGGCCTATCAGAGGGGGAGCAGGAATGGATGTAGCACTGTCTGGCACCACACCCTTCCCTTAAGTTCATCGTTCTTAAACAATGAATGTTTTTATTATCTCTCTATCCAAGCCAGCTAGTGTAAGGTGCAAGTTCACAGTCTGATGTTAACCCTGAAAAAAAAAAAAATTTAGACCTACAGGATCCAGACTCACATGCATTCTAAACATACAGATAACTATTCTGAATTATTTTATACTTATTCCAACAAAGTGAATGCACTGCAAGTAGGATAACCACCCTTGTGTACTGGATGCTGGAAAAAACTAGGCAGAGGTCCATGTGAGTATGCACTGAGATGTACAGGGAAAATAAATTAAAGCAGACTACACAAAGCTAAAGGCCAGTCAGCTTCGGTCTTTGAAAAGGCAAATGACTTGTACCTGCAGTTAGAGCCTTGAAAAAACTCCCCTTACTGCTCTTGTGCTCATTGAAAACTTCTGGTGAGTCATTTTGAAGGAATAAATGGTTCCCCCTCCCAAAATTACCAGTGTCTTGCCAAGAACAATGTTTTCAAAATTCAAATGCTGCATTATTTCAGTTTACCCAAGCACGTACAAGAAGACAGTCCCAAGATGGTCGATGTCCTGGAGTGCATCAGGAAGATGCACCCGCTGCCAGCAGGTCCAGGAAGGGGATCCTGCCCCTCTGCTCAGCCCTAACGAGGCACATCTGCAGTGCTGTGTCCAGTCTGGGCTGCTCAGGACAGGAGGGACATGGAGCTCCTGGAGCAGGTCCAGAGGAAGATGTGAAGATGCTGAAGGGATGGAGCAGGAAAGGCTGAGGGAGCTGGGGCTGTTCAGCCTCCAGAGCAGACACTGAGAGGGGACCTCCCCCAGGTCTGTAGGGGCTGCAGGGAGGGGGCAGAGGATGGACCAGGCTCTGCTCGGGGGGGCCCAGCAATGGCACAAGAGGAACGGGCAGGAACTGATGCCCAGGAAGTTCCACCTGGACATGAGGAAGAACTTTGCTGTGCAGTGACCCAGCCCTGAACAGATTGCCCAGAGAGGGTGTGGAGCCTCCCTCACTGGGCCAGAACTGTCTGGACACAATCCTGTGCCATGTGCTCTGGGATGACCCTGCTGGAGCAGGGAGGTTGGACCAGATGACCCACTGTGGTCCCTTCCAACCTCACCCGTCCTGTGATTCTGTGAATACTCTCTACACATCCCTTTTGAAACTGGGTACTTGTTGTGCAGAAGGGTTCATGGGATGGGTAAGGTGAGAAGCAAGAAAGGCCCCGGCCTTTGCCAACTGTTAAAAGATGTAGCCAGACATGAAAAAAGCACATCCCCTGGAGAGGACAGAGCTGGTGCCTGCTTTCTATCACCTTTAAATCTGAAGCAGTGCTCTGACTGTGAACCAGTCACACCCCAGCGGCACGGCTGCGTAAGGCTTTGAGGGGACTCTGATGCAGGTAACACTTCTTGCAAGAGCTAAAAACTGGGGGCACCTTCCTTGAACACAAAATGCCCGAGTAGTTCTTTCCGTGGCCACCTCCTCCGAGGGGGTTCTTGGCTGCACAGAGACACTTCACATGGGGAGTGGTGAAGTACCCTGAACTGAAGGTTTAAGCCCCCTGGGGGAAGAAGAGCACTCTTTGTTTCCTGGGCACCAAGCCTCTGTGGTGGCCCATTTTATAAAAATATAGGCATTGCTGCTTAGGTTTCTGAGTGATGTGTGTCTGCAGTGTCTGCTGTCAGGCACAGCAGGGCTGGGCCCTGATAGACCCTGCTAACACCAAACTGATGAGAGACTTAGGAATCATAGAATCAATTAGGCTGGAGAAGACCTCTGAGATCATCAAGTCCAACACCACAATGTCAATTAGACACTGAGTGCCATGCCCAGTTTTTCCTTAGACAGCTCCAGGGACGGTGACTCCACCGCCTCCCTGGGCAGCCCATTCCAATATTTAATAACCCATTCTGTGAAGAAATTCTTCCTAATGTCCAATCTAAACCTCCCCTGGCATAGCTCAAGGCTATGTCCTCTCATCCTGGCGCACTGAACCTCTATGAGGCTTGGGATACAGAGGCACAGGTGCTCAAGGTGCATGGCCAGGGCTTGGCTTTGGAAACACAAGGCACGTCCAGAAAGGGCAACGAAGCTGGTGAAGGGTCTGGAACACAAGCCTGATGAGGAGTGGCTGAGGGAGCTGGAGGTGTTAAGCCTGGAGAAAAGGAGGCTTGGGAGGGACCTTCTTGCTCTCTACAACTCCCTGAGAGGAGGTTGTAGCCAGCTGGAGGTCGGGCTCTTCTCACAAGCAACCAGCGACAGGATTAAAGGAAATAATCTTAAACTGTGCCAGGGGACGTTTAGGTTGGATATTAGGAAGAATTTCTTCACATAAAGGGTGATTAGGCATTGGAATGGGCTGCCCAGGGAGGTGGTGGAGTCACCGTCACTGGAGGGACTGGACATGTCAACTCAGTGCCCTGGTCTAGTTGACACGGTGGCGTTCGGTCACAGGCTGGACTCGGTGACTTCAGAGGCCTTTTCCAACCTGTCATTGACTCTGTGATCCCCTTCGAACGCTCCGGGACGCCTCCAGCCAGCACTGCCCAGGAGGAGAAGGGAAACCCAGCCGCTGCGAAGCGGGTGCTCTGCCACGCTCAGCGCAGCCACGGGAGCCGGAGGAGCCTCCCGGGGAAGGGCTGCGGGGTCTCGGGTGCGGTGCTCTCCCGGGAAGGGCTCCGGGTGGCGGAGGGGAGGCATCCCGAGCCAGGGCGGTGAAGGGACACGGACAGGGACGGGGATAAGGGCAGGGATAGGGATAAGGCACAGGGACGGGGACAGCGCCGCCGCCCCCCGCACTACACTTCCCGCCCTGCTCCGCGCCCCGGCCCCGCCGCCTTCCGCTGGCGCGTGGTTTCCGGAGCGGATCGGAACCCGGAGCGCGGATCCGATCCGGGTCTGGCCATTGCCGGGCAGGTAACGCGGTCCCCCGCGCTCCTCCCGCCCGCACCCCCGCGCCTCCCCCGGGGCACCCCCGCCCGGGACCCCGCGCCCGCCCCGCCGCGCCTCTCCCGCCGCCCCCCGCGCCGCGCGGCGGGCCGGGGCGGGCGCGGCGGCGGCTCCGAGCGGCTCCCGGGGCGGCGCGGCTGCGGCCCCGCCGCCTCCTCCTCCTCACCGTCCTCGTCCTCCTCGCCGCCGCCGCCCTCCTCCGGCCGCCTGTTCTTTGTTACAGCGGCCGGGAGGGCGGTAGCGAAGGGGGCGAGGCGGGTCCGAGGCAAAAACCCGGCGGAGCCGCTCCCGGATCGCGGGCCCCGGGCGGGCTCCGGGAGGGGTGGAGGCGGCGCGGTCCCGCGGGGCGGCGGGGCGCGGGGGGTGTCCGCGGGGATCGGCCGCGGGGGAGAGGGACCCGTCGGGCCACGGGATGCGGGGCCGGGAGCGGGAAGCGCCTGGCTTGGCCGCAGGGGGCCGGAATGGATGGGGAGGGTGGGGCGGGCAGGGGGGAGGTTCCATGTGTGGATCCAGAAGGGAATGGGGGAGGAAAAGGAAGAAGGCAGGTGTAGCGATGCTGATCCTGCCCCGGTGGGAGAAGGTGCGGCGGGAGCCCGAGGAGACAAAAGGAGGGAAAGCCGCGGACTGCGGCGCTTCGCGCACGTGAATTTTCTGCAATACGCTCGTTTTCATTAAACTTTGCATATACTTCATGCACATGGTGATGGGGAGCGCTGGGAAGGGCAGGTGGCGCCGGCTCTCCCAGCCGGTGTGTTACTCCGTGTGTCCCCCCGACTGGTGTAGGAATCGCCCCCTCTCCTCCTCCTCGACAAGAAATGATAGAATGGCCATAATTTTGTGGGAATGCAAGGCCTCTCTGTAGTTTGCCAGATGTTCTGCAATTACTTTGAGCAGTAGCATGAACAAGTTTGACTACATCATGAGCAAAACTGCATTTTTAAGTGCGTTCTCGCACACGTGCATCTGCAGCACCCACCCACTTCTGCTTTCAAATTATTTATTCACACTTACTAGAAGCCCATTCTCAAACCAATGGAAAACTGAAGAAAGGCAAACTTTAATTTTAGCTTGTTGGTCATTAAGTTCAAACACAGATTTTTAGGCGTTGGATTTATTTTTTAGTTATTCTTGCCTATTTTTTTTTTTAATCCATTTGCAAGATCGGAATTACTCAGCTTACCACTGGAGCCTGATTTCTTCCTTCAGCAGTTTATTAGGGGAAAGTGTGTTTTTACATCAGTTCTTACATTTTTGGCATGAGTGGTTCCGTCACAGTAACTCACATGTCATGCTCTGCACGCAGGTACCTGTGATGCTGCAGCCCCTCAGTGTCTTCATTTGGGTTTCCTCAAGTTCCAAATATGTTTGGAGGCCCATATGGCAGCTGGAATTTTTGCATGTAGCTGTGTGCTCTACTCTCGGGCACAAAGTCACCCATTTAATTATACAAGCAGAAAAAAAGTGTGGTTTTCTGCTCTTTTACTGCCATCAGAATTAGGCCTTGTACCAGGTCTTATTTCTTCCGTGTAGCTTTTCACCTGATTATTCACTGCTAATGATCGCTCTCTGTTTCATATAAAAAATACCTGGAATTCCAAGAAGGTTTGATTATCTCTGCAAGACAAGAGCAGAATTATGGGCAGTGGGATGAGTGACTTAATGGAGTATTTTTCTGGTACAAATGCTTGAAAAGAAAAAAAAAAAATCAGACATGGCCCAGAGCAACAGCAGAAAGAGGGTAACAAAATTCTGAAGCCTGTCTTCAGTGCCATCGTGTGAGCCCACGTGGAACATCGTGACTCTGTTTACCAGCTGGAGCGGGTGGCATGGTGTCATTTATCTCAAAAACTCTTGGGGAAATACATGTGTGATTTGGGAGGAGTTTTGAAGCCCATGGGTGAGGAGTGTGAGTCTGTAAATCCGAATTTTGAAGCAGATAGGGGTGTTTGTTTCAGAGCCCAGCGGGTCGTCGTGTCGGGCGTGCGACGTGCAAAACAAAAATCTTTGCTGCAGAGATGAAAACTGCACTAATGCAGGTGATAACTGAGGTGTGGTGTCCTTACCCACTGCGTGAGGGACCTCTGAGGGACCTTCATGCTTTCTCCCCATCACCTTGAACAACATTGATGCTACTGTGATTTCTCCGCCCCTTTGTTGCTATTCTCATCTGACGGGCCCTGGAACAAGACTGATGTTGCTGCTCCTGTAACAACACGTCCTCAATTTGCTGTTTGTCAAGGGTGCAACACAGGAACATCCTGGAAGGGGAATGCCTTTGCTGAGCAGGTCACACAGCAGCATTGCTGGTGTGCCTGCACTACATCCCCCCCTGAACCATTGACCGAGGACGTTATTTGTTAATTCAGCCATATTTAGGATGAAAGTCTTGTCAGGACATCAACTATCTAAAAATAGTACACCTTTGTACACCTCTTGAAATAGTGCAAAGCATCCACATAAAGTCTTGGTTAAAAAGCAAACCCATTTTTTACATCAGCTTACAATGCACTTTCTGTGGTTGGTTTTGCACCGTTGTAGTTTGGATTTCCCTGAATACGTGTTACATTGTTTGCTGTGCTTTCAGGGTAAGAGCTTTTGGGGAAATTTCCTGAATTTGCTGTTGTGCTCAGCGCTGGGCTTTTGTATAAATGTTTGTTATGCTATATGAGCTTAGTCCCCAAAAGCTGTAGCCAAAAAAGGCCCAGCTTGTGCCACAGATAGGCAGTGTTGCCCCCTTCCCAGGGCAGCAGGTTTTAGGAGGGATCCTGCAGTTGGCAGGTGGAGTTGGGCAGGGCAGAGCTTGGGACAGACCGTGTGGAAAAGTCAGGCTGCCCATACTCCATGACCAAAATTCCCCTTAGGCTGTTGCCCAGATAGCTGAGTAACGGGATCCCTCCTGCCATGACCAAGAGCCACAGTGACCAGGTGTCCCTTTGTATTCCCATCAGCTGTGATGGCTTTCCACCCAGTGCATCTCTGTGTGGGCATGGAGCCCTTTGCTAACTGGGAGTTGTTTATTCATTGGTGAAGGAACCTGTTTACTGCTTCTCTTGGAGGCTGGAGGTGGAGCAGGGTGTGGGTGCAGCTGGAATCAGACATTGCTCCCAGGCTTTAGCAGCACACTTGGCACAAGTGTGGAATCCTTCCTGAAGCAGTGAAAAGGATTGTGTGGGACTTGTGCTGAGAGGTACCTGTGCAGAAGTAGCTGCTGCTCTGGGCTCCAACCTGAGGCCTATTTCCACAGCCCAGCCAGGCAGAGCATGTGGAGCATCAGTCTTCAAGAGTAAACTCCTAATGGAGAGTCCTGCTCCTGCCCTGATCCTGAGTAATGACTGTTCTTGTGCATATCTTTGGCTTGGCTTTTGTTGCAGTAGTAGCAAATGCTTTATTTATTTTCAAACAGGGCTCTGCTAGTTTGGTGTGTCATGTTTCCTCTCCTCTTGTCTTCCTCCCTCTCACAGGTTCTCTCTTTCTCCTTCCTATTCTCTTCTTGACCAATACACTTTCTGTTTTTGCAGCCTCATCTCTTAAACTTGGGTCATGATCTTGTTGCTTTGCCTCTTACTGGGTTATTGGGAAAATTGCTTGTTTGAAGAGGAGAGCCTTTTCATGGTTAGAAAAGGGAGAGCTATCTGGTGTTATGATCTTAGCCATAAATAATCAGACTTTTTGCCATAATTTAATCATCGAGGAGCAAAAGATAGTGTTCATGCAAGTCTTTAATATAGGCTGACAAAAAATGAAATGAATGTAGATTATCCTTATTTAACCATGAAAGCAAACTGGTGAGTTACCATTTCATGGAAGGCCAGTGTCAGAGATGGGATTTGTTTTCCCAGGTTTTCTGATACTCATTACCTCAATATACCTTAGCCTTTAGAACAGATCTGTGACTTTACCTGCAGTTTTTAGATTCTTAGGATTATTGTGTTTATTAAATAAGTAATCTGCCTTACAGAGATAATTTTTTTAAGCTACTGTTCAGGAAAATGTTGCACGGGGCCTTGTTTCTGCAGTCACTGGGGGTTTTAACAACTTTAATTTCTTTAACTTTCCATTGATACTCCTGCAGGGACATTAATGTGTTTGGGTGTGCTCTGGGCCAGTCAGCATCGTTACTTCACAAAGGGATGTTTACATAATATGGAAAGTAAAAGTCATTCAGAACTAACTTCATCTTTTGTATTTTGGCAGGTTTAAAAAATGGCTGAAGATGGCAGTGATGAGATTATGTTTATTTGTAAGTATTAGGAAAAAGATCTGACTCTCGTGTTGTGTGTCTTGTTTACTAAGAATGTTTGAAATTAAAGACTAAAACAAACTAAGATTTTATTTAGAAAAATATTTTATTAAAGGAAGCTCAAACAGCTTGTGGAGGAATAGAGAGGAGGGCATGTAATTGAAGCATACACAAGGAAACCTCTGAATGTGAGTGAGCAGAACAGCTTTTTCATGGCTGGAGTAAGTGAGAATGAAGGCCTAAGACCAGTGTAAGCCTTTGTTTATCCAGCCAGCTTTAGCAACCCCGAGGTGTCTGTGAGGAACTGTGACCTCTGGCCTGACCTGAAGATCTGCACCTCCACAGGAGGGGGAGGCAGGCTCATTATTCTTTCAGAACAAGGCCAGTTTGAGATGCACCAACTGCTCTGACAAACCTCACTCGTGGCATTCACTACCTGTGCTTCCCGTTTCTGCCCTCTGTGTAACCCCGTGTGCCACACCGGGCTCTGTGGCCTGGGATCTGGACTGTGGGATCGTGGTGAGTGAGGGAAGGCTGCAGCAGTGGCGTGCCAGGGAGTGTGGTGGGCAGTGTCCCATCCTTGGTGGAGCTTGGCCAGTAGCTCGTTTCCCAGTGGCACATTAGCCCTGCAGCCTTGCCTTTGTCACCAGCCTGGACATGCAGGATCTGGTGTCGCCGTGGAAAAGAAATTAAGAGATGCAGAGTCCACTCACCTACTTGTGTGGGCAGAGAGGGCCCCGATATCGTGGATCCGATCAGGGCAGACCAGAATGTGTCCTTGGTTTCTGGATCCACAGTATTTTACCCCTGATGGCTCCACAGGTGCACTTTAACCTTATGGCAACTATATCAGGAAATTCCACTTTTCCCTTCCACCACAGATTCCTTCAAAAATAGTGTTGACTGCTGGCATTTTTATTGAGTTACAGATACCAGTAGTGAAGTTACCTTGTCTTCCCATAAAAAGATTCTGGTGGATAGCAACAAGAATGGAAATGTGATGCCATTCCTTACTTGCACAGATAGAAAGTCACACACACGATTTTCCTCTTTCCAGTGAAGTCCGTGGTCTTTGAATGTCTCGAGTTTTCTTGTGCTCTCCGTAATTAGTTTTTCCCATGGGATGTGGGGACTGCTTATGTTCTGAAAAAGCGAGTTGTTACAAATGATACTGTGCATTCCCAGAATTAACAACCCTGAGTACGTATTTCATAGACAAGAGAGTTTTGGAGTATTTTTTTTATAGAAGTCTGTGAATACAGTCCCCCCTGGAGGTATTTTATGCTTATTCCCATGCTAATTTTTGTGTTTCTCCTGTGGCTGTAATCTCTTGGTTGCTGTAAGGTATCCCCTGGATATTGAGAAATGCCACACAATGCCAGTGTCATATTCCCCTGGATCTGGTCATTCCTCTGCAGAGGAGAGGAATGTGTGGTTTATTCCTGCATGTAGTTGTGGACAGTGCAGTCTGAACCCATACAGTGGCTTATCTTTGCAGAAGTGAGGAGTGCCTTGATGCAATCAGGAGAAAAGAAAAACACAAAGTTTCCTTTGACAGCAAAGCCTGTGTGAGAAGCTGCTGCTCTGGCTATTCCTTCCTGTCCTCGTTGGTTATGACAGCCCTTTGTGGGTGATAATCCAGTTTTTTTCAGCAGTCTGGTTTACACATTCCTCTGTGGCTCCTCTCTGCTTTGGGAAATCTGTATTTAGCCCAGGTTATTTCAGGAATATTAGGCACAGTGTGAGCTACAGGCTCACCTAAAGGAGTGGGGATGGTGGGACAGTAAACAGGACAGCTGTAGGCTGAGTTTAGATGCTGGTGCTGCGTGGATGGAACTTCCCCACGGATTCTTTGCTCTGACACAACTGTCTGGTGCTGTACAGCAAGCCAGACTGGGAAATTAATTCAGCTGAAAAATAAACTGATGGGAAGAGCTGGTTGTCTCATTCCTCGGTTCACCAGAAGGCAGCACAAACAGGAGGCAGCAACCAGGCTTGGGGGTTGCATCAGTCAGTACTGCTGTTTGTCAAATATACGTGAATTTTCACTGCTAAGCTGTTTTTTTTGCCAGAAGAAGAAACAACATGGAGCTGTGTATTGCAGTTTGAGATCCCCTGTTTTAGAAGAAGTCCTTTTATTCACTGGGACAAATACCTGGGGGGGAGAAGTTTCCAGTTAGGAGTTCAGAGTAGCTTTACCAGAGGGGACATACCTTGGAATGATATGGCTTTTGTCATGTCTCTTCCCAAACAAGGTGTAGTGATCCTCCTCTTTGCATCCTTACTGTGGTTACCTGACTTGCCCTTGTAAGTGTGGAGCTCAGATGGAAATGGCACTACAGGAATATAACCCCTGTGTGATGATCTCCTCTGAAGCTGTGTCAGCAGCTGACCAGGCAGGGCAGTTTGGCAGCTATTTTTTCACAGCGAAGCAATGTATATGCATTTGGAATCCTGTTAAGTTAGCTTATTTTAGAAAGCCTCAAATTATTGTGGTCTGAAAATGGTTTCTTAGGAACCACTCAGTTCTGGGTAATTTACAGCCACTTAAACTAAAAGTTAATTTGGGTAAACTGACAGTGAACTAAGTGTATTGTGCAGCCAGATGACTTGTTTGGAAAGGCACCAGAAGGTATCTTAGAGGTCTGTCTCCCTGCTCTGTGGGTGAGAAGTGTGTGTGGGCCAGGCATGGCTCTGGACAGAGCTGGGCTCCCAAAACATGCTTGTGCTGAGGTCTGTGCCAGTTCTGGTACTGATTTATGCCTCCTGTCACTGAAAACACTACATTAGCCAAGCTGTTTCTAAAAAACCAGGTTCTGGGGAAGGTAGTAATGTGGTTTTCTTTATCTGCAACATGTTATAGCACTTTATCTGAAGAATAATGCCATCTTTAAGCAGAATATTTACTGTGGATGTAAGGCAATTATTTTCCATCTGAGAGAGAATTTAAACAATTGTCTTCTGATAGCACTGATCACAGTGTGTTATCTCACCTATGCAGGTGCCAGCTATCAACTCGATGTTCAATTATTCATGTTCTTTTAAGCAGTACAAATAAACATCTGCCTCTCTATGTATGTATTTTGCCTGGTGCCAGGTTTGGCTTGGAAGAAGGAGGCAGCTGTCTCACAAAAGTGTTTTATCAACCTTTTCTTGCAGGGTGTGAGGACTGTGGGCAGTACCATGATTCAGAGTGTCCTGAGCTGGGCCCAGTGGTGACAGTCAAAGACTCCTTTGTCTTGAGCAGGGCAAGGTAAGGAATGTTTGAATTAGTCCTGCCTAACCCAACACCCCTGTTAGTCCTTTAAAACATATCTGCTGGCTAATGGGTGTCGCTGACAGCTGGAAAACGAAGTCCCAGTGGGCTGCAGAAATTTATGGAGAGCACATGGCCCTGATTAAATAGAAAAATTGATGCACGCACTTGAGTGCTGTACTGAACTGGAGCCAAAAAAATAACGTGCTGCTCATCAGGATCTGGTTTCTCCGCAGAGGTTTCTGGCAAAAAGTCAGGTAGTGCCAGATGGGGTGATGACTCCTGTCTTGGTTGAGTACCTGCCACTTTTTCCCCTCCTCAGATGCACTGTATTAGTTTCAGAGAAGTGTGTGAGGATTTCTCATTCATGCTGTATCCTCCTGCTTGGTATGAACTCCATCATTCCTCTGCTTAGAAGCAAAACAAGTTGTTCTCATTATTGTGGGTCTTTAGGAATGATTAGGGGTAATAGTTCTGTCAGAAAATCTGTGACAGCCCAGCAGAAACGCTCATGTTTGCCAAAAGAAACAAACAGACTAAATCTAGTTGGGAGCAAACAACACTGAGTAGTGATTTTTAAAGAGAAAGACAATCAGGCATTGTCAGCAAAATTCATATTAAGATGTAAAATGTAAGGCTCAGGAAAGGAACCAGCTATTGTGAAGATGTAGTACAAATCCAAAAGGGGAAGAGAGTTCAGATGGAGTTCAAATGGATTATATAATGTGCTCAAGGCTTCTATATTTCTCCTCGGGGGAGTCACAGGCAGAAAACATGGGCATGTGGGCAGCAAGTCTGGCACCTGCTGGCTATGTAGGCCGTAGTGTGTATTCCCAGGATTGTTTTGTAACAAATACTGGATGTGCTGGATGTGCCACGTGGGGCAGGATGCTTCTGGTGTCCCACCCTGTACACTGGCAGCACTTGTGCAGGAGCTGTCACTGGTTTTCTGGGCCTTCCTGGAAAAGGAACTGCCCTGGCAGCTCCTGCCAGGCAGCATCTTCCCGTGCCTGGAAAAGCCTGCCATGGATAATCTGCTGCAGCAGATGTTAACTGTTGACAGCCCTGACACTAGAGGTGCTTTGTCTTTGGGGGTAATTTCAAAATAGGAACAACAGAAACTGGGGATGGAGGCGCTTTTCTTACACACAGAATCTGGGCAGTGCAGTAAGTTCCAGCCTGCACTACACAGATTGAATGACACAGATTGAATGTTGTTTCTTACCTTTTATCTATTTTCTTTTTCCTTGCAATTTAATGCTCTTACTTGTTTGGACGGTGGAAAATTACCACAGCGTCCAGAATTTCCAACTGTGACTGTTTGCAAATGTGGTGCTTGCACTGGTTTTCAGTCTTTTGTTTTTTGACATGCAAATGCCAAGTTTTCCCTAGTGGAAGTTTGGGCTGCTGGACAGTAGATTTGAAAGCAGAATTTAAAACTGACTGTATAACAGAAAAATGCATTTATTTTCCTGAAGAGTTTACAGCCGAAATCAGGTAAGATAAGAAAAGGAAAGAAGAAATGTAAGGGCAACCTTTATTTTACATCTGGGAACAGTAGCTGAGAGAGTGAGTTGTCTGAGATTGAGGGCAAGTTTAACCACAAAGTGGATATGACTCTCTTAAAAACCAGTCTAGTTGTTTAACCACAATTGTTGTTTCCTCTGTCCTAATGAAGAGATGAAATGAATAAACCATAAAGATTATAAAAGAAGTGTTGAGAAACATCTCCAGAGCTTTACTGTCTCTAACATTGCTTATTCTATGTTTAAAACCGAAAACATTTTTTCAATTAATTTGCTTATCACTATTATCTTCTTGTATTTCTCTTCATCTAGACACTAAAGCAGTTCTGCCAGTGTCAACTTTTGTAGTCAGTAGTCTGTCTGATTATTTTTAGCTTTTCCATCTGTTAGCACAGACCTGAAAAAACAGAGTTGCATTTGGGGTCTGTAAAACCAATATGGTGGTTCCAGTCATATGAGTTTTTTGGGAATATGTTCTCTATGTATTCTGTGTAGTAACAATCTTCATTGCACAGAAGCACTTGTGATCAATGTGTCAGTGTTTGTAATAAGGGATCTACAAAGCAGGTGGGAAACTTCCAGGGCTTTTGATCTGCATAAGTCTGTAAAGTGTTAATCTGGGGAGGGATATAGTTTATTTTTTAAAGTAAGCATGATCATAACCAAAGATATGTAGGATAATTCATTTGGGACGAGGCCTCAGGATATGCCAGTCAGAACTAACATCCATGCTCAACCACTCATTTTTATGCGTATTGTCCCTTCTGCTTTTGCCCATTTTTGATGTCTTTCCCGTACTGGGAGCCCAAAAAAGGAGGCAGTAAATCATCAGGATCTCATGAGTGCAGAGCAGAGGGGAACAATCAGTTGCCTCAATCTGTTGGCTGCTCCTCCAAATCATCCAGGCTGTGTTTGGCCCCCTTTGCTGCTGGGACATGACCTCATGTCCGCCTCGCTGCCCACCAACCCCCCAGGGTCTTTCTCCCTGGTGATGATGCTGGCTGGGGTTCTCCCTTCCCAGGTGCAGGACTTTGCATTTGTCCCTGGAATTTTACATGGTTCATGGCAGTGTATCCAGGCTCCCCAGGTCCCTCTGGATAGTCCTGCCCTCCGATGTATGGACTGTGCCCCCCAGTTAGTGTCATCTGCACTGGATGAGAGTGCACTCCCTTGTCCCCTCTAGGTTGTTAAGGACTGTTTAACAATACAGGTTCCCAGAACAACTCTCTGTGGTGCCCCAGTTGTTGTGGCCTCCATTGATCACGACCCTCTAAGCTTGACCACCCAATGAGTTATGTCCTCTAGTAGTTGTGTACCCATCCAAGACCACAACATTCCAACTTGGATACAGAGAGGATTGTTGAAAGCCTAAAAAAACGTAATTTCCCTTAAGCTGAAGGGACATGGCATCTGTTGCTCTTCCCTCATCCACAAAGCCGGTCATTTTGTCCTGGAAAACAGTTTGTCAGGCATGAGTTGCCCTTATTCATTCCGTGGGGACTCTTTCCAGCCACCTTCTTCTCATGTACCCATAAATGCCTCCCAAAAGGTCTTGTTCCGTGGTTTTCCCAGGGGCTGAAGTGAGGCCAGTCAGCCCTTTGGAATATAATCCTTTTGAAGATGAGTGCAACATTTGTCTTTCTTCAGTCACCATCATAGAGTGGTTTGGGCTGGAAGGGACTTCAAAGCTCATCCAGTTCCCTTGCCATGGTCAGGGATACCATTCCCTAGACCAGGTGGCTCAAAACCCCATCCAACCTGTCCTTGAACACCTCCAGGGATGGGGAATCCATAGGTTCTCTGGGCAACCTGTTCCAGTGCCTCACTACTCTCAAAGTAAAGAATTTCTTCCCAATATCTTATCTAAATCTCTCCTCATTTAGTTTAAAACCATTGCCCCTTGTCCTGTCACCATCCACCTGTGCAAAAAGTCACTCTCTCTGTTTTTTATAAGCCCACTGAAAGGCCACAGTGAGATCTCCCTGGAGCCTTCTCTTCTCCAGACTGAACAACCCCAGCTCTCTCAGCCCTTCCTCACAGCAGAGCTGCTCCAGCCCTCTGATCATCCTTGAGGCCTCCTCTGGACCCACTCCAACAGGTCCACATCTTTCCTGATGAATGCAGCACTGCAGGTTGGGGTCTCTTGAGGGGAGAGTCATCAGACACCTCCCCTGATGCCCATGGTCTTCCCAAGACAATTGAGAGTAGTCTCAGTATGGTATTGGACTACTCTGTTGGGATTCTCAGGTGCAGCCAGTCCAGGAAGGTTCCTGGACTTACACAGACTGAGCTTTCTCAGGTAATCACTGATTTGTCCCTCCTCCACTGCTGGTAGTTGTTTTCCTCCATTTATAAACCCTCACAAAACTTAGGGTGTGTTGATCAGAAGACTTTGCTGTTACCAGAGATTGGAGGAATACATGTTGGCTTCTTTCTTTCATCGGTTCCTGCAGTGTTGTCCCATGGGTAATTATTCTTTTCTTAAGTCTCTCTTCAATTTTTAGGTCATCTCTGCCTTCTAATTTGGAGATAAGACAACTGGAAGATGGGACTGAAGGAGTGTTTGCTCTGACCCAGCTGGTGAAACGCACCCAGTTTGGCCCATTTGAGTGCAAGAGAGTTCTCAAGGTGGAAAAAGAATCAGTTTTTCCCCTGAAGGTGAGACACAGCACATGAGAAGCGAGAACAAACCGTCAGTTTTACCTGTGATGGATTTATGCCATCTAAAACTATGGAAAAAAGTGTATATAGGGGGATTATTTGGAACATCTTTTAGGTGTGCTCTGTAATGGATGAGTTAAAGAAACAATCTCTGGGCAAGGTACAGAAAAACCAATCTAGTGGATCATTCTGTGTTTGAAGTGTTATAAGAGGTATAGTCAGCAAAACTGGTTGTCTTTCACCTTCTGCATGTGATGATACAAGAGGGACAACAACTATGGCAGTTAACAAGACCCTTCAGTTGGATTGTTTAGCTTTATGGAACATGCAGAATAAGTTGGGTTTTTTCTTCTACCTTGCATTTGTTTTATTCCTCCCTTGACAAGTTTTGGCAGGAAAAATGCTACGCCAAAAATGGAATTCGGTCTTAGTTTTCACTGATACCTAAGTCAGAAGTAAAGACTTAGGAATATAACTTGCAGTGTATTTCACTCCATCCTCCTATATCCAGCCATTTTTTGAGAAACTGGTGGCTGTAGCAATAACTCTTAGGATAGGAAGTCAGTTTGTTCCCATCCTGCTCCTGGTAGCCTGTCTCAGACTTACCCATCTGAAGGTGTGACTGATAAATGAAACACGCCTCATGGCAGTGTTGAGGCTTGCCTTGTCTCTGCTGTACACTGAAAAGAAGCCATTGCAAAAGCAGGAAATAAAAATCTTCCTTGACTTTGTGTTATTTATCGGGGTTTTTATTACATGCACGTGTTTTTCTTGGTAGGTGTTCCAGAAGGATGGGCCCCTGGTGTATTTTGACACCACAAACGAGGACGATTGCAACTGGATGATGATGGTGCGACCGGCCACCGAGTATGAGCACCAAAACTTAACTGCCTTCCAGCATGACAATGACATTTACTTCACCACCTGCCAGGATATCCCGCCAGGGACTGAGCTGCGAGTGTGGTATGCAGCTTTTTACGCCAAAAAAATGGAAAAGCCAGTGCTGAAGCAGGTCCCTAGTGTTGCCAATGGTATGTGTGGGGGCCTTTCTTCCTTCCTAAGGGCCCAGTGCTGACAGGGACTGACAGTCCCTTGCTGTTGTAGTTGACAGGGCTGTTTATCCAGTAGGCTCTGCCCCCTGAGTCAGGTTAACCTGCGTACAGGGGTGCCCTGCAAGCAGAAAGCACAGATTCTTCACCATGGTGCAGCCAAGTTTTGGAAAACAGACGGCCTAGTTGGTGATTGAGCCTCTTCAGAGTGAACAAACTGGATAAATAGTTCTTAACTAAAGAATTGGTGGTTGCATTTCTGTTTTTCTGGGTAGAAGGGCAAAAGGAACTCGAGTATCAGTGAAGTATAAACATACGTGCAGATTTTCTAAGGAAGCCATTCCCCTTCAGTTGCAGTGAAAGTGTTTTGGTTTTGCACAAAACTCTTACACAGTTCTGAAATAACTACATTTGTCTTAAGACATGGGACCCACTAGAATAAGATCCACATGACTGTTTGTGCATTGGAAAGAAAGGCAGCGGATTTTTTAGAATCTGAATTAGAATTGCCAGAAGTCTGTTGTTCCTCTGCCCCTTTATTTGCAAGGGTGTTTTCCTCCTTCTCTGGAGTTGGGAGTGTTCCCTGAATGGTATTACTGCTATGCTGAGTATAATTTGGGGTGACAAATGCTTGGGGAGAGGCCATTGCCATCAGCTTTATGGTTGAATCTTGATCATAAGCAGAATCTCAAGTGCTACAGCTGAATTATTGCAGTTAACAGGTTTCTGAATTATGAGATGTTTTTGGTTGGTATTGAGAGGTTTCATCTTTTCCCTCTTTAGTTTAACCTGTTCATGTATTATTGCATGGATATGGGCATTTAAAAATACTGCTTAAGTATGTCCTGCTCTTTCTGTTCAGCACTTTCACTGTATACTCCAAAATATTAAAGGCACATTGCAGGAGATTCAGGTATAAGAATGTCCTGGTTAAAATTTTACATGAGAATGTTATTTGCAGGCCTGCTACAGAGTAAAACTTTTTGACTTTGTGGTTGTTTCAAAACACCACAGCTATGGTTACTGCTCTCAGCACAGAGCAAGAGAATCAAAAGGTCTGGAAAGTAAAGAAGATGAACTGTTTTTCCTCTTCACAGATGTGTGCTTGGCAGTGATGGAATCTGATAAAGAAGGGAATAAGGTCTCTTCAAAACCTTCTGCTGTCTTACCCCATAAAAAAACGAAGAAATCCAGCATATCAGCAGCTGATCCAGCAGGTAGGCAAAATTATAGTGTTTTTAAGGAGGTAGAGAGCAGATCTACAGAGCTCTTAGGTCTAACAGTTCTATGTATATAATTGTATATATATGGTTATATAACTTACAGCAAATATTAATTTAGAGAGGATTTGAAAGTCTGGATTTTTCTTTTAGTTTTCATGGGCACAGTGCTTAAAATACATATGCAGGTCGAAAAGAAACAGAGAGGCCAAACCTTTAGGCAGGTGGTTTTCATGAAAAACACAACTGCTCATGACTTTGGAGGTAGTTGGTGTTGAGGTGGAGGCAACCCTAAAGAAAATCTTCAGACTCCCTGTGCAAAGTGTAACAGTTCAAATGATCAGGTTCCAGAAGAAAACATGAGACTGTTGGGTAGGTGTAAGAACAGTTTGGAAATTACAAAAATACTGGCCATCCCCAAATTACAATAATACCAGAAGCCTATTCATGTTGAGACTGTTCTGGATTGCAGGAACTCAAATTTAAATAAATTTATAAGCAATACAGATACTCTTGGCAAAGAACATATGGCTGAGGAAATAGGACAATTAGAGTACCTAGTGTGGAGATCAGGATCAAAAAAAAAACATTCTGGGCCTGTTCTTTAAAAGGTCACTTTCCTAAGTTTTGCTTATTAATACTAAAAGTAGCCAGGAGGAGAGTTGTTGCAGATGTGTACAAATTAATTCTTTAGAAGATCCATTTGTTCCTCTTGGATACTGTCACAGCTAAAAATGGGAAGTTGACTGGGGAGTTGTCTTTGAGCTTGGCATTATTGATTTTTCTGGGGGTAAATTTTGAAGAATTTGAACAGCCCCTCTCACATCCTTCATCCTGCTGTCTGAAAGTCCAACTTCAACAGAAACAAAATGCTGCCTGTTGTATTTTGGGAACCCTAAAGTGTTCCCACTGATGTCGTGTTTCGGCGCTTCCAAACCAAAATATTCTCCTTTTGATTCTGACTGTTTGCCTCAAGTCATGCAAAGCAGTTGCCAACTGACAGATCTGTGGTTCCAAGTAAACCACATTACCCTGCAGCCTCCCTGGAAGCCTGAGGAAGTGGGAACTTAAACAGGACCTGACTCTTCCTGACGAACCAGAGCACAACCAGGGTTTCTGGGCTTACTGCTTGAGGCAGCTGAGGAGCAAGGGAAGTGCAGTCAGGGAAAATTAAATTATGCAGAATCTTGGGGTTTAGATTGGCTGGTTTTGTCCTCCTGGACAGAGCTCTCAGGAAGTTCTTTATGTACCCTGTGAAGAAGGAGTTTCTGTTGCTGTACTATCTAGTAATTTCTTATTTATTTATTTATTACAGCATGGATGAGATCACACCCCTGTAGTGCAGAATGTTGAGCATAACTTGTAGCAGGGAACAGCCTCTGCCTCAGAGAATCTGTTAGTTTGGTTTAAGAGCCAACACTGGAAAGGAGGAAGAACTTTATTGTCCCATCACAGATGGGGTCCTCAGGCAGAGAGAGATGAACTGACTTGTTAATCTGTGGCAGAAACTGAAGCACAATTTGAATTCCCTGTGATGCCATTCACTTACCCAAACTTCAGTGTGATCCTCCTCCTCTGAGGGAGTATTGTACACTGTGGAATATTCAGCTTTGTGTGAGCCAAAAAAAATCTCTGAATTGGTCCAGATTTATTGGATCCTCTTGACAAATTCAGACACATTATTCAAGGACTAAAATACAATGGACTGTGAACGGAGTAACCATTTTCCTCTTTTTTTTCTTTTTTCATTCCAGTTCCATTCTCCCCCTAATTTCTTCTTTATTTTCACTGTCTGTCCTGAACTTGAAAAAACATTAAATTAAAACATTGATATGGTGGTTTCATAGCACATTTGATTAATGAAACTACTCAAACCCAGGTTTTAATTGTCCTCACCCTTACTTCCATTAATCCAAATGTTCTTACTCTGCAATGCTCTTCACAGAGAACAAGGAGGCTTCTCCTGCTTCTTCTCCTCAGCTGACCCAGAAGAGCACTGGTAACTCCAGTTTTAAAGGTGCTAAAAATTGCATTATATCATGACTTTTATAAACACAGTTCTTAGAAAGTGAAAAAGGAGCCCTCAGGACTTTACAAGAGCACTGATACTCTCTCCTGGCATCATTTAGTATCTTCTGGTGTTTCAAATGTTCCTGTTTGGAAAACCCTGAAGTGATCCCAGCTGATCCCCATGGGCCTTTTATACCGCTTAAATTGTAACCTGTGATACTCAGGGAGGTATTGCAAGATAAATAAAGCCACAGGGATTTACCACCTTTCCCTTTCCAAGGCTTTTCAGTATTTCTTCTTACTGTGATTTAGTGAACACTCCGGAAGGCAGTGGAACAGCAGAAGCAAAGCCCAGCCAGTGGATGTGTAAAGTGTGTTCATCTGCTTTCCAGGAGCCTCAGCTGCTGACAGGTAAGAAGTGCTAGAAATTCATGAGACAATACTGAGAACCATCAGCAGAATTCTGCTCTTCCACAGCTGTGAAGCCATGACAGTCCACAATGCAGTAAGATAAAGGTTTTAGTTTTTGTGTTCCTTTAAGAAAAAGGGTAGCAGGGAAGGTGATATTTTGTGTGATATTTTGGATGTGAGTGGGCAATCTGTGGGCAAACAACTTTATTGTTGAATCTAGAAGAAATAAAACTCGTTTAGAGGATGACATGTGGCTGTCAGGAAAATCAAGGATGGGGAGATGCATGAACAGTGTGGAAGGTCAGTGATGCCAGCTTATACTTTGTAATATTTTCTGTCTGGTATTTATGGCACATATTTAGTAAAAGTAATGAAATACTTATTTCTTTTCTGCATTTTGTTTGCAGCTATATTATGCAGTTTTAAAAAAAAATATTTAGAAGCTCTGACCATTCAGTGAATTGTTTTTGAAAAGGGGGCTTAGCCCCTAAATAACTTGGGCATTTGGAAAAACATACCTGTTATTAGTATGCACGACCTTACTGGATATCACAACAGTGATATCCAACAAATCTCCTAAAAAATTCAGTCCCTGTAATTGTGTAAATGTTTAATAAATGATATGCTTTTTTTTAGGAAGGTATTGGGACTGCTTTTGAAATAATTTGAAGTGAGTCTCTGCAAAGAGAGATGAACCTGATAGATGGGCTTCAGCTGGATCCATTGGACTATTTCATGACAGTTTCTTTCCTCCTTACTCTCTTGTTCTTTCCCATCCACCCAGAGCACTTGCTGAGTCACCTGGAACAAGCCAAAGGTGCCCCCCAGCCCAGCCCAAATGATGCTGTGGCAGAGAAGGCAGCAGAGGCTCCCCCCACGGACCAGCCAGAGCCCAGTGATGCAGCCAGTGCCAGCACAGACTCCAGGAGAAAGGCCAGGAGGGGGAGAAAGGCCAAAACACCAAAAGCAGAAGCACCTCTTGTCGTTGATGAAGAGAAAGATCCCGCAGGTAAAACAGAACTTAAGAAAATGAGAAAGTGTTAAGGAATGTATCCACTCATACATCTGTATTGATGCCTTCTCAGGAAGGCCTAGAAAGTAGCACAGAAACAGGATGGAGGTTTTTAGTTAGACCAGCAAAGCAGACAATTAACAGGCTTTGTTAATTATCTCCAAGGGCCTTGTCTGTGCTGGATGTTGCAGGACCTACATTTAGATTGCCTGCATTCTCCTGTGATGGTTTTAGTAATAGAGAGGCCCAGAGAAACACAGGTTTATGAGACCTGCCTTGCTTTCTGCAGGAAGGAGCAGGAGAGAAAGTATCTTCCCTCCCAAGAGGAGACATCTTCCTCTTGACCTTAAGGTTTATTCTTGAAAGAGGTCTTTTTCAGGGCATTATCTTCCTTGAAGGGAAGTTCTGGTAGGAAATTTTACAATGCATGGCTAACTGACCCTTTAGTGACAGGTTGGAAAGGTAAGAAATTAGGCCTCCCTATGAGATTTTGGCTACATCTTGTCATTCAGCAGCCACTTGCTCTGACCTGGAAGCGACTTGTTAGCAATCCATTATTTGTCACTGACAAATAACATTTGGAACCTCGTGAGGCTCAACAAGGCCAAGTTGCAAGGTGGTGGTCTCAGAACAGGCTGGGGGATGAAGGGATTGAGGGCAGCCCATCTGAGAAGGGCTTGTGGATGCTGGTGAGTGAGAGGCTGGACATGAGCCAGCAGAGTGTGCTGACAGCTCAGAAAACAGCCGTGTCCTGGGTTGCCCTCGAGGGAGGTGGTTCTGACCCTCTTCTCTGCCCTCATGAGACCCTACCTGGAGTGGTACATCCAGCTCTGGGCTGCTCAGCACAGGAAGGACATGGAGCTATTGGATTGGGTCCAGAGGAGGCCTGCAAAGACCTCCCCTGTAAAGACAGGCTGAGAGACCTGGGGTTGTTCATCCTGGAGAAGTAGAAGGCTCCAGAGAGACCTGAGAGCCCCTTCCAGTGCCTAAAGGAGTCCTGTAAGAGAGATGGGAACAGATCTTTTAGCAGGGCCTGTGTGATAAGACAAGGGCAGAATGGCTTTAAACCAAAAGAAGGACAGTTTAGATTAAATATAAGGAAGAAATTTTTTGCAATGAGGGTGGTGAAACGCTAGAATAGGTTGCTCAGAGAGGTGGTGGATGCCCATCCCTGGAAACATTCAAGGGCAGTTTGGACAGGGCTCTGAGCAGCCTGGTCTAGTGAGAGACCTTCCTGCCCATGGCATTGGGGGTGGACTAAATGACCTTTAAGGCTCCCTTCCAACCCACCCTGTTTTATGATTCTGTGAACGTGTTTGCGGACAATTAATTTGTCCGTTGCCACATCTTGTTACAAATTCTACATTTGAGGTTGTATTTCTAGCTATCCACATTAATGCTGTATTTTTATGGTGTGTTTGCAGTGGAACATGTGGCTGACATTGTAACTGAGCTCCCTCCAGAAGAGCTAGCCCTGCCTCCACCTGCAGAGGAGAGGATTATGGATTTGGTTTTAGGAAAGATGCCTAGCACCACAAATAGCATCAGTTCAGTGACAAAGTAAGTGTTCTGGGATGCATGGTTTCCTCTTGGGTTTAATTAAGATTATGTAGCATGTAGCAGCTCTGCTAGACTTCTGGGCCCACAGATGCTCTTTTTTATCAGCTTAAAATTGTGTGATGCTGCTACTGCTGCTGCTGCTACAAGAGCTGATTTTTGAGTGCCACAAAGATTGGCCTGTGCACTGGAAGATGGTGTGATATTGCTGGTAGAACTTTGGAACATAAACGAGAATTTCATTTTCCATCACAGTGCTGCTTTTATTCAGTGTGATTCCAAAAGCCTCCTGCAGCTGCAAGGTGAAATATTACTCCCATTGAATGTTGGTGATAAGACAGGCAAAGAAATTTTTGCTAAAAAAACCAATTTGCTAACTGTTATTGTTATTATTCAGTCTTGCTTGTCATCTTAACTCATGAATGACTTCATGTTGGTTTTGTGTGATACTTCAGATTTAGAGCAGTGGGAGGGGAAAACTTAGGTATAACAGAACCTCAGGGAGACTCTTAAGTATCGTTTGATTAATTTGGATTCTTTTGTGTTTTTCTGTCTTAGTAAAATTGGCCTCTTGAATTATTTTTTTTTATAATAAAGCACTCGATTTTTCAAAATTAGCTAGTAATGCTGTATATTAAAGTTCTTAGCAGACACAGAAAATGCATTTCAGAGTGTGGTTGTGCTGGGAAATAGCACAGTGCTGCTGCCTGGCAATGCCTTTTGCCTGGGAACTGCCAAGGTTTCCAAGCTGAAATAGCGCTGATGTTTTCAGAGGGTGAGCAGAACAGATCCTTGCTGTTCCTCTGAGGGGGTCTGCAAAGAGAATCTGCTGCTGCTTTTTGCCTTGTTCGTGCTGGGTGAAGATAATTTGGAATGAGACACACTCTGGCATCTGCTGCTTCCAGGGGGTGGCCAGGGGGGGCACCTTGGCATTGAGGAAGCTCCATCCAGGCTCCCTCCCTCCCTCTCTCCTGCCAGGAGCTGAGCATTAACACTCCTCCAGCTTCTGCCAGCTGGTGGAACTCTCTTGCAACCTGTGGGATACCTTTCAGTCCCTGCCTTTTTCTCTGATCCAGTAGGTTTGCTCATCACCAAAACACCATGTCCCTCAAAAGAAGTTTAATTCTCTCTAGTAGACACAGGATACGGCGGAAGCTGATAAAGCAGCTTGGGGAGCACAAGCGGGTCTATCAGTGCAGTATCTGCAGTAAGATCTTCCAGAACAGCAGCAACCTCAGCAGGCACATCCGTTCTCATGGTGGGTTTGCTCTTCACCTCACTTGGGGATTCATTTTTGTCTCTTGTCGCTTCCACCTTTGAGTAAAATAGCTGGGATATTTTATATATTGGGATACGTAGCTATAAGAGAGCTATTTTTCCTTTTTTCCTTCTTTTAACTCTCTCTAGGAAACTATTTTAGTTATGCAGACCAAAATATGAGAAGGTAACAGCTGAAAGTTGAAGCCAGAGTATTTAAAATTTGAATTGAGTACATCTTTTAAGTAAGGGCAGGGAAGCACTGTTTATTCAAAAACTATTCTTGCCTTAAAGTGTATACATATATATATCACCCCCACCTTCACAGGCACATGAGTAACAGAGCTGTGTAAATGTCAGCTGAGTGCTTTTTAGCTTGTGATCTGCAGTTCCAGGGGTCTGTGTCCTATTCTAAGGGTTCCTTGAAAAATAATCGCCGAAAAAGGGTGGGGGAGCTTAACAAAATCGTTGGAAATGGTTAAAATCCACTATTTAGATCTCCTGAATTACTGTTTTTCATCACTAGCCTGTTTGTTTGCAATTTGCTTGTGCTTTGGTTTCCCCTGTCTTGCTTGGAGATGGTTATAATCAAGCACTGACTACTGTCCTTTTATCTTGATTGATCCCCTCAGGTGACAAACTGTTTAAATGTGAGGAATGTGCAAAGCTGTTCAGCAGGAAGGAGAGCTTGAAGCAGCACGTTTCATACAAGCACAGCAGAAACGAAGTGAGTGGAAATGACTCTGGAAATGACTCTTGGGCTCTTGCTGAGGTTGGGTGGGAAGGTACAGTGATATTCCAGGTGCCAGCTGGGCAGCTTGGGGCAGTTCCATGCGAGCAGGGATCCCATGGGAGTGAGACAAGACTGATAGGGGAGAGGTAACATCTTCTGCTTGATGAATTTGCAAAGTGTGGACGTGCTTTTGAGCACATACAAGCCCTTTTCCATATCCAAATTTCGTATAGAAAGTTGCTTTCAGGCATCAGTTACAGCAAGACAAACTGGAGTTAGCTAGACCTGGATGCAATAGAGGTGAGATCTGACTTGAATTTATTGTACTAAATAGGACTGTTCCAGTCTTGTTTGCCTGTGTTTTTCATTTATCACCACCTGTAGTGTCCTTTAATGTGTGAGCTGTGGGCAAAGAGTGTGAACTCTGCCTGTTGGTGAGGGCCTTTTGGTACTGCTGCCATAGGAATATTAATAACACACCTATAGTGGCACCTTATTAGTGAATATTCCCTTTTTTGCTTGGCATCAAGGTCCTTAGCTCTCAGATTGCTGCCATCTGTTCTGGAGGATGAGTCAGATCACATCTTATTTCCCAAACATTCTGTCTCTGTGTTGGACTGGGGGGTTATCAGGAAGGCTGTGACATGAACATAGTAGCTATATGGCCTTTTTTTTTTTAATAGCTCAGATGTAGGAACATGGCAGGATGACACAGCATCAGAATTTTGCATTAGTGTGTATTTAAATGTCCTCTTGAAGGAATAAAAATTGGAAAAGATAGAAAGCTGAAAAAGTAGTTGAGATTTAGAATTTCTCTGTCAGACATGACTTGGCTTTTTCCCCAGCTTAAACTCTTCCTGTTTGCAATCCTCAGGTTGACAGTGAGTACAGGTACAAATGCACCACGTGTGAAAAGGCCTTTCGGGTAGAGAGTGCACTGGAATTCCATAACTGCAGGACAGGTGAGAATGGATAACTTCCACTTCCTCTGACATCTCTACTGCATTTTGGGGAGATGTGCACAAATCCATCTCAGCACAGAAACTACAGAAGGGCAGTAGGAATTTAGTTTTTTATCACCATCATCACAAGAAACAAACTGTCCTGTTTCCCTCAAAAAAAAAAAGGTTTTTTGATAAGAAAAGTGTAACCAATAATCTGTAGAGCAACATGTGCAGTTAGGTACTGCTTTGTTTAGTATCTCCTGCTCACCTGTCTAATACCCTCACTGGTATTTCATTTGTATGTTCACAGGTAACCTGTCACCATCTCTGTTTGATTTTCTTTCCTGAAACTAAGTTCCACCTCATTTCTCTGAAACAGAGGAACTGGAAAGGGGATCAGTACTAGTGATAGTTGTAGTTTTCTGGAATCTCAGTTTTATTCAGCTTTTTCACGTTTTATACTTGCAATAGTGTCTCTTAATGTCACTAGAACCTGTCCTTTTCTCCCACAGCCATCCCTTGTGATTACTCATATTATTTATGCTGGGTGATCCTATGCTTAAAAAATGACATCCTGGTTTACTTTTGTGGACCCACCATAACTGTCAGTCCAGAATCCCCCAGGTAACTGCCCCTTAGAGCACCATTCAAAGCAGGGTTTCTCATTTCCTTTCAGAGGGTACAGCTTGTATAAAACCTCAGCCTCGTGCAGAATGGAAAGTAGTGCCAAGTAACCTCAGTATTCTGTTTATTCAGGGACAGCAGCTCATTTTCCCTCTGAGCTGACCAATACAAGCAGCAGTTTTTCACAGAATAGAATCACAGAATCATTAAGGCTGGAAAAGACCTCCAAGATCATCAAGTCAAACCTTTGACTGAAGAGGTCAAAGTTTTCTCTATTTTCAAGGCATCAAATTGTAACTGCTTTGGGAATTTTGCAGCACTGACAGATTCCATCTACAGAACCATGTTTTCGTGTTCCAAGAACAGTCTCAACTACTGACTACAAAACAAATTCCCCATAGGCCTATTGTCGTGTGATGGTATATTTTTGAGGTTTTATGCTTTATTCTGGAGTATTCTGTACTGGCTGGTGTCAGGAGCCAGTGCTGGCAGAAATATTCTGGTGCTTAGACACAACTGTGATGCTCTGTTGCTCTGTTTAGTGATTGTACCAACACTAAATATTCGAATCAGTTGTAACAGAATCCACTCCAAAACTTTATTTTAGTGTATGCTAGACCACAGTGGAAATATCCCATGTGAGGAAGTTAAAATGCTAGATTCCACGTTCAGATTAGCATCATATATATTTATTACCTTTGAAAAAAAATAAATTTAAAGAAACACACATGCTTTTGCATTTCCCTCCTCAACCCATGCAATGATGAACAAAAGAACTACCTGCCTCAGAAGCATACAAAGCCTCTGTCCATCTATAAAGAGCTCTGCATGGTTTCTTTTGCTTACAGATGACAAGACTTTCCAGTGTGAGATGTGTTTCAGATTCTTTTCTACAAACAGCAACCTTTCAAAACACAAGAAGAAGCATGGGGATAAGAAGTTTGCATGTGAAATCTGCAATAAGATGTTCTACAGGAGGGATATCATGCTAGACCATCAAAGAAGACACTTGGGAGGTAAGTTTACTGCAGATCAACCTAATTATTACTCTCAAACAGCAGTAAAGGTGAGAAAGTTAGGGAAATGATTGTGTGCATTAGATTCTTCTGAATAGTACCTGCCTTTTTATTTTATTGTCAGTTACCTGATCCAGAGTAGCAAGTTTCAGCAAAATGTGACATTTATTAAAAATAATAGTCATGGATCCTGCAGGGGAGTTGTCTAATTCTGTGAAAAACTTTCTAGGAGATGCACCTGCCTTTTTTTTCAGCCTCATGTGATTGAATCCGGTGCTACTAACAGTCATGTGAAAGCTGCTTGGCTTGTTAAGCAGTAGTTTAGACTAGCTGATTTTAATTATGATTTGAATTCTGTTTGAATTTTTTAAAAAAATTGTGTGGTAACTCGAAAATCTGGAAGCAGAGAATTAACTTGCCATGTACAACTGGAAGTGGCTACTATATAAATATAGTATCAATGGGATGCCATGGGATGTTATCTTTCAAACACTTGAGAATATATGAGAATGAGATTATGAGAGTTTACTGTTCAGAATCTCAAGCATCTAAGAATGTTATAGGTACTGAAAGACTGGAAAAACTTCATAGATTGCTAAATATGTATTAAAATGCCTTTGTTTGTTAAAACCAAAGGTGATTTAAAACGAACAGCCAGATTGTCTAATTTTGTGTTTGGGGCATAGCTGATTGTCACTGGCTCTTTTTGTGATTCAGACCTTCTGTCATGAACCAGAGGAGAGCCAGAGGACAAGGGGCTGAATGGCAATGGCCAAGTGTCTCATGTTTAGCTGTCACAGAAGAGCTGGAGCCCTCTGTCCTCTTAAAAGGAGCAGGGAAAGAGGTCTGAAATCCTCACTGAGCATTAAAGCTGATGCTGAATTGTTACCTCTCTTCTTAGAGACTCTCCCTCCTCTCCCTCTTCTTAGTGAAAATGTTTGATTGAAGTACCAAGGCCTACTAGATCTGCCTGTTTCCTGGTGTTGACAACAAATGTCTGTTTTCAGACACTTTACAGTTGGTGTAATAACCAATGAGCCATAGCACATCACTTTGGGAGACTGCTTTTATATTCTTAAGACACTGTTTTAATTTAGAAATCACCCTTTTGTTATCAATTAAATCCTACATCGAGGGCCTCCCCAGTGTTTCACTCTTCTCCCCAGTACTCCCCTGAGAGGGCATGCAGATTGGAGTGGAAAACCATGGTTTATTTTTCTGTTTTGTTTTTTTGATGGGGACTGTTCTGTGAAGGGGTGAGGCGTGTGAAAAGAGAAGACTTTGAGCACAGCACGGAGAACATGGTTCGCTACAAGAAGGAGCCTTCGGGATGCCCCGTGTGTGGGAAGGTGGGTGTGTGTGGCCAGGTCTGCACTGTAGCTCCAAGGATACCACAGTTTAGTCTAGAGGAGAGAAGGCTGAGGGGGGATTTCATCAATACATACAGATATCTCCAAGGTGGGTGTCAGAGGATGGTGCCAGACTCTCTTCAGTGATAGGACAAGGAGCAGCGACCGTAAATTAAAACACAAGAGGTTCCACCTCAACATGAGGAAGAACTTCTTTCCACTGAGGGTGGCAGAGCACTGGAACAGCCTGCCCAGGGAGGTTGTGGAGTCCAGTCAAGACACTGCTCTTTAAACAGCCGTAGCTCCATTGTATCCAAGCCCACTGTGATGGTGGGAGCTGTTAAGACAAAGAAAAGAACAAAACTAAAGTTCAGGCAAGACCTTTTTTCAGGACATGCAGCACAACGTGGAGTGTCACACATGGCCCCTGTGTGTGTCAGTGAAATCTCATGGCTTAGGTTATTTAAAGTGGAGTTTTTCTGCCAGAATGTAAACAGCTGGAGTTGACTGTGTGCATTGGGAATCATTTTCCACTAGGAATCAAAGTGAACTCATAGCATAGTAATGGCATTGTTGCATTTGGGTGTTTTAGCACTCATGATCTTAAGTTGCTGTTATCACAGAGAGTGTGGGTTTAACTAGTGATTTTATAAATGGTTAATGATTCCTGGTGCAAAATGTACCTGAGCAGCTCTTAAGCTGGTGTGTAGACCTCTGGATTTGATGCTTTGGATGTGTTACATATCAATCAAGGCAGATTTTGTGCATATATCTTTTTGTAGACAGGTGGAACATTCATGATTCAAAAGACACTCTAAATATTTCTAATTCTACCCTATGTAGTTCTCCTGCAGCTTTTTTGAAAGTCCATCTCTGATGAATGGCCAGTTTCAGTCAGTTCCTTGGAACTTTGCCCCTGGATTTTGCCATGCCAGCAGTTTCTAAGGTAGCCTGCTGGCTGGCTAACAGGAGATCCTACATGTTTCTGGCCAGAATGAATCAAAAAGACAGTAAATATATTCTGTGCTCTTCATTGGATAAATTACAAAGAACTGCTGGACATGGTCCAAAACCCCTTCATCCCTTCCTTCCTTCTTTGCTTTTAGGTATTTTCATGTAGGAGCAACATGAACAAACACCTTCTAACACATGGAGACAAGAAGTACACTTGTGAAATCTGTGGACGTAAATTTTTCAGGGTGGATGTGTTGAGAGATCATATTCATGTCCATTTTAAGGTATTGTGTTAATATTTAATTAGAAGAGGCAGATTGTTCTGACATAACTAGGTTATCACTGAATTGTAAGGGTCTGAATTGAAGGGGAATTGCATCACTCAGTGGTTGTCATAAAGATCCTTTTATAGATGTAATGCTGTACCAGTTGAGTCTCTTTACATTAAAGTTCCCTTTATACACACAAAAAATTAATACTATTTTTTTGAATAAAAAAATTAATTAAGTTATTCATTGTGTAGTCATGGACAGAGGAACTTTGTTGACCTGGATTGAATGAAGCAGGAGGATATTTTAAATAGATAATATTACAGCAATTGTTGATGCAAGGCAGTCTGCATGGCAACAAAAGGTGAACAGGTCTTTACCTTTTGAAGAATAAGTTCAATCTATTAAAACAAAATGTTCTTTCCCACTCTGCACAGGACATAGCCCTCATGGATGATCACCAGAGAGAAGCATTCATTGGTAAAATTGGAATCTCATCAGAGGAAAATGATGACAACTCTGATGAAAGTGCAGATTCTGAGCCTCACAAGTATAGCTGCAAAAGGTGCCAGGTAGCTTTAAATACTTTCAAATTAACTTGTTTTGGGATGGGGATGGGAGAGTGGCGATGTCTGTAAGTCATTCAGAATTTTAAATAACATTATGGGTTTTCAAAGAGAAGGCCAGTCCACAGGTCTGCAGTGCTTGTTACCTCTAATCTGTGAAGTGATGTTATTCCATAAGACTTTAGGTGGTGTTCTGTAAGGTGAATGCTAAACACTTACAAAGAGAAATACAGATATATTCGCTTACCCGTGGAAGGAAACAAGCAAAACCGGAGGAAGAATCACTAAAGGAACATTCAAATCAATAAGGAACATTCAGATCTTATACCACCTTTTGATTATGTGCCAACTAAAATCATTACAGCATTTCTGAATGATACAGTCCACAAATTGATTTTGCTGAGATCAGGTGGTCCTCTGGTGGATATCCAGTTTGGAGGATTAATCCTGCTGCTTATGTTCAGCGTGGCTGCTTATTCTTGGGCTGCTCTGTGACTAACAGGATGGCACTGGGAGTACTGCTGGAATGTAGTTTACTCAGTAAATTGGGCAAACTGACATAGGTACAGGGGAGTTTTGGTGGTTAAGCCACTGACTTGACCCCTGGAAATCAGAGTTTATTTCACAGTGCCCACTTAATTTTGGTGAAAGTTCTTACCTTATCTTCATTTTATAACCTGGAGATGATAATCTTTGAGTTTTCTGTTCTTATCTGTGAACTGGTATAAAGTGAAAACTGATTTGAAGCTTATGCCAGTAAACATCAGAAGGTGTGGTATCACAGCAGTTAATCACATGGCTGCTTTCAGTGTGCTAATTTTCCTGTCTGACACTTCATGGGTACATAAACTACATGAAATTGTGTGCTCCCAAATGAGGGCAATTGGGCCATTTAGATCAGAAGGCTCTTTTTGGAAGCTGGGGTGTTTTTAGTACTTTTGCAGGTGTTTGTGAAATAAAGAGTTGTGTAAGGGAGCAGCTGTGGAAAGTGAGATTTGCTGTGAGGAGATGGGGAGGCTCTTCTGGGAAATTGAAGCCAAAGGGAGAACAACATACAGATGAGTCTTGGTGAAATCCCTCTTCTGAGCTCTTCAAAATCTCTCTGTGTTTTCTCTCATCCCAAAGTACACCTTCACCAAGCTGTGCAGTGCTGTCAGAAATACCCTGACTAATTCCAAAGTTGGAGCAAAAGATCATGTCATTATGGCACGTTGCCCTGATGTTCTGGAGCATGTCTGGACATGCTGGATCATTTTGGATATGCAGGGTTACTTAGCCCAGGTTGCTCAGTAGTGGAGCTGCTGTCTGGCACAGCTTTAGCACTTCCAGGAGCTGAGCTGGAGTCACTGCCCTGCAATGCCTAGAAATTCCAACTCTTCTGAAGCCAGTGCCAAAGCTGACTGTACAGACTAGAGCTTGCCATGCCCTTAGAGCCCAGCAGACATTTCTTCTACCACCTGTGGTACCCTCACTTTGACAGCTGCTGGAGGTTAAACTTGGCTCTCTTTAAGGCTGTTCCTCAGTGCACAAATAATTTGGGGTCCTCTTCTTGTGCAGTCTAAGAAGTGGAGACACCATCTCAAACAAACTGATTTTCCAAACAAACTGATGTCCTGTAGCAACGTCCTTGTAATGGCCAAAGGAGTTCAGGCCTAAATCCAGCTTTCACGGGTTTTTCATGTAGTGATACACAGGGTATTGAAGTGATACACAGGGTATTGAAGTGATACACAGGGTATTGAAGTGATACACAGGATATTTAAGTGATACACAGGGTATTGAAGTGATACACAGGGTATTGAAGTGATACACAGGGTATTGAAGTGATACACAGGATATTTAAGTGATACACAGGGTATTGAAGTGATACACAGGGTATTTAAGTGATACACAGGGTATTGAAGTGATACACAGGGTATTCACATCAACTCGCGCCACCTCAAGATCCTGGCAATGCACTCCCAGCTCGTTGCTGTGCCTGAGGACTTTTTCCCCCTTTCATTCACTATTGGTTCACTCCCCAGCTGACTTTTGGCAGAGGGAAGGAGTACCTGAAGCACATCATGGACGTGCACAAGGAGAAGGGCTACGGCTGCAGCATCTGCAACCGGCGCTTCGCCCTGAAGGCGACGTACCACGCGCACATGGTCATCCACCGGGAGAACCTGCCTGACCCCAAGGTGCAGAAGTAAGACATGTGGCACTGATAAGAGGAACCATCTTCTTGGAGTGACAGTGGCTCTACCCCCTGGTGCTTTTAGAGAACCAGTGACAAGGACCCGAGGGAATGGCCTGAAGTTGTGTCAGGGGAGGGTCAGGGTGGATCTCAGGGAAAGGTTCTTCCCCCAGAGGGTGGTTGGGCACTGAACAGGCTCCCCAGGGCAGTGGGCACAGCACCAAGGCTGCCAGAGCTCCAGGAGGGTTTGGATGATCCTCTGGGGCACATGGTGTGACTCTGGGGGTGCTCCTGTGCAGGGCTGAGGGGTTGGACTCGATGATCCTTGTGGGTCCCTTCCAGCTCAGCATATTCTGTGATTCTGTGTAATTGGGCTGTACTAAAATATCTGAAACAGTATAATGGGTGTTAAAATGTTTATTAAAAGCTTGAGGTAAATATCACTGATGATTGACTTCACACAGATGATTAGTCAACAGCCTCGGAGCTTGGGCTTTGCAAATTATAAATCAGTGATTTTAATAAATTTTTTTTTTGAAACTCTTTTTGAGTGAATAGCAATGCCAGGCTGCTCCAAGCTTGCAGTCAACTTACAGATTTCTTAAGATTCATTTTAAAAAATTTAAGCTTCAAGGAACTTTTATAATAATTAGTATTAAGAAATGAACTACAATTATTGACAGAGATGCCTGAAAATCACTTCTGTCTCAAGAAAAGAATCGCAGTTTTTGGTCTCTTTGGTTTCAGATACATCCACCCATGTGAAATCTGTGGAAGGATTTTTAACAGTATAGGAAATCTGGAAAGACATAAGCTTATACATACAGGTAAAAATGTTGTGTTTCTTTATAATTATCAATACAAAAAAGAAATTTCTATTGTCAGTGCCTGCCTTTTGTTTGGTTTTTTTTTTTTTTGGCTGGAGGAAAAAAGTTATGGGTTCTTACTGTAAGATACAATCAGATAAATGTAATATTTTTGCTTTTAGGGTAGACTGGTTTTCTAAAGCAGGTAATATTAATGAAATTTGATCTGGGCACACAATCCAAATTCCTAGATAATATGATGTTGCAGGATTCACCTAATTCTGTGTTCTGTACTTCCCCAGATTCTTATCCATGCCACCTTCTTGCCATTACACAGGCTGAAAACTGCTACTGCAAAATCATTTTCAACAGCTCATTACTATTTCATGCTACTCAGTATTTTCCTACCTCAGGCTTTACCTCTTTTTTTTACAAATCTCACATGAAAAAACAGCTTTCCTCTCTCTCCAAAGTCTGCTAATTTAGTTTGGGCTACAATATGCATGAAAGGTGTGGTTGACAGCACAGGGGGGGCTGTTGCCCTCTTTAAGTCACCACTTTAGTCAATTTTTAGGAGATGCACATTTTTCATTAACATTTTTTTTTTGTTTATGTTGTCTTTTAAATTTATTTTTAAGGTGTAAAAAGTCATGCTTGTGAGCAATGTGGCAAATCATTTGCTAGGAAAGACATGTTAAAAGAACATATGCGAGTCCATGATAATATCCGAGAATACTTGTGTGCAGAGTGTGGCAAAGGTATGTCTGATGCCTTGTTTTCCATTAATTGTGATACTGAATAGCAGGTGAATATCTGAATTAAGACTTCTTCCATTCTTAGAGTATTTGGGAAGGTCTGGGAGTGCTGTAAATCCTGCATTTTTGAGAGGTAGTAACTGTATGAATCAGGAGCCTTAGGGTTACATAAACTGCCCCCAATTTTATAGTTTTGTTTTATGACCTGTAAGAAAACACTGATTTTTATAACATGCCTGACTAGGTTCTAATGCATTTGCAGCACAAAAGTGAATGCAAGTTGATTTTTTTTTTTTAATTCTATGCTTGTTTTCAGGCTTAAGAAATAGAATAATTTCTCTCTGTAAGAGCCTTAAATGTCAAAGTTGCTTTGACTTTTTTAATTGTTTGTATTACAACTTGGACAAATCTGAACTGGTGTTTTAGTGGCAGGTAGTAGTAAGTCTGACACCTCTGATGATACTTTGTCTTTGCTTGTCCCTGCTGTTTTGCTTCTTCCTCAGTGGTTACTCAGATGTTTTCCAGAGCTTTTTCCTGGAATTAAAATAATAATGATAATGTGCATTGCTACATAAACAATTAAAAATATGCAGTTGTGGACTCGTGGCAAATATAAGCTTAGAGCTCTTGGGTAACAACATGATCATCCTGAGTTCTCTGAAGGTTGGAGCAGTGGAGTAACTGTCTTGCTGCACCTTTTGTCTCACAGGAATGAAGACAAAACATGCACTTCGTCACCACATGAAACTTCACAAAGGGATTAAGGAATATGAGTGCAAGGAATGCCACCGAAAATTTGCACAGAAGGTCAATATGCTGAAGCATTACAAAAGACACACAGGTGAGGGCTCTAAAAGTGGCACTTAATCGGTTGAATGCTTCCCAGTAGAGAACCCTTACCTAGAACAGTCAGAGAGTATGAGGAAAACTAATAAAATGCTTATTTTCTGCCTTTTGAAAAGTGAGATTTTGTCCTCTTCTCGGCTGAGATCACCTGTTCTACAACTGGAGAGATACAGCTTAGTTGGTTTCAAGCTTTGTTTTTTTTTTTTGAAAGTGGTTGTTTTGGTCTAAGATAGGTCCAGAGCGCTGGCTTTGTTTTAAGTTAGTCTTCAGGTTCTCATTTCCCAACATTTTACCTCCCACATCGGTTTCCCTTGGATTTATTTTCTGCCGGATATGGTGCCACGGCTTAGATGAAAGTAGGTGGTGAAGCTGGGCTTCTTCTGCTGGTTTGACTGTGGGTTTTATGTTTTTTTAATGTTAGTAATGTGAGACTCTGGATTGTCCCAGATGCCTTAGGCTCCTTTGACAGATGCTAAATGTGCTCTTCCTGCAGGAATCAAAGATTTCATGTGTGAGCTCTGTGGGAAGACATTTAGTGAGAGAAACACAATGGAGACTCACAAGCTGATTCATACAGGTAAACCCTCTAAAAAACAGTATCCAACAACACCTTAATTCTGTTCCTAGGCTTGCTTTAGTCTTGCCAGTCTTGGAACTGGTGTTGCATATCCTGTTACCAGACACAAAAAATAGTTCCTCTTGTTGAGGTGTTGACAATACGATACTCATCTGTTGGGTTTCCTTCCATCTGCCACCAGTAGGAAAACAGTGGACATGTTCAGTGTGTGATAAGAAGTATGTCACTGATTACATGCTACAGAAGCACATCCAGCTCACTCATGATAAGGTGGAAGCCCAGAGCTGCCAACTGTGTGGGACAAAGGTTTCTACCAGAGCCTCCATGAGTCGGCACATGAGGCGTAAACATCCAGAAGTGAGTTAGTTTGGACTGTGGGGTGGTTTGGTTTGGGGGTTTATTTTTTTTTAGGAAAGTTTATGACCTTCAGCGACTTGAATTACTTTTTTTCCCTTTCTGTTTTTCCCTGCTTTTTTGGAGCCAGTTTTAGGTAGTGTCTGTGAAACATGCACTTAGCTGAATCAGCCATTTAACTGTGTTACATGTTTTAGAAGTAAACAAATCTGATTGCCAGTCCCTAAAAATGAAGTTCTTCTGCTTATTGAAACCCCTTTTCTTTCTCTGCCTCAGCTTAAATGTGTGTTTTTTCATGTTTTGTCTTCATCAATTAGTGAGTGTAATGGATTCTTTTTTCCCCATTGTGTTCCCTGTGTTCAGAAGTGATCTGAAAGAAGTGGTGAATAGAGAGGTGGTGGCGGCATCTGCTGATGATACAAAATTATTCTCAGCATTAAAGATGAATGCTGACTGGAGAGAATCTGGATTAGAGGGATGTTTTGTCTGACCCCAACGGGGTTTTTTCTATGTTCTGATTTTCTGAATAGCTGCTGTGTTTCTCCTCAGCATTCCTTGTTTAGGTTTGACTGAGGCTTGTCCATTCCCTTTGAGGCTTTTTTTTTTTGACTACCAGTTTATCATTATTGTTGCTTTGCTGTTTTATCATGATGACTGTGAAGGAAGTCAACAAAGTGCTCTTAGTTATTGATTTGGGGATTAAAAATGCTCTATTCTTTGATGAGCTGAGATTCAGTTTAAAATAATGAAGTAGTACACAGTATTTTTTTTCAAACACATTGTTTTCTATATAATTCATCACTTCCCAGTGGGTTGTGTTCTGTCTAGAATGTGAAAATAAACATATTCTTCTATTGGTGTCTTTAAACTTTGCTGGTTTTCAGTGAGACTCAGAAGACTTTATGCCAAAAGGTTATTTAGAAAAAAGCCATGGTTAACTCCTTCATATTAAATGATACATGTAAAATGTTAGATTACATCATTTTGGCTTTGTGACAGGATTTATTAGGGAGATGCTGTATTGTTTGACTGCAGCTCACCAGCTGATACCTCTTTGTCTACAGATCCTTTCAGTGAGGATTGATGATTTAGAGCAGCTGCCAGAGACAACTACCATTGATGCCTCTTCGATTGGGATTGTTCAGGTAAGTTCCAGGCCCACTGGAGGGTGAGGTGGGGACATTTTTGGTACATAACATAGCTGAGCACAGGCTGTGGGTGAGGAATGTGCTTTTTCAGAGCCAGCCCCAGGGTAACATGTCCAAGCAGCTGCAGGTTCTTGATCTGTTTGGTTGTGTAACAAGGTAAAACAGAGATAATTACAGGGCGAGGTCTCATTCCCCAAAATCAGGTTTTTCTAAGGTTTATTTCTTCGCTTGAGAACTGACAGTAAAACAGCTTCAGGTGATAGGCTCTCACTTGGAACTTCATTAAGCAAAAGGACTTGATGTTTTGTTTGGAATTGTGTTGCTCCAGCCGGAATTAGCCTTGGAACAGGGCGAATTACCAGAAGGGAAGCAGCACATAAAAGCTCCTAAACGTGGCCAGAAACGAAAACAAAAGTCGGGTGAGGAGGAGGAAGCTCAAGTGCCTGAGGACCCTGCCTTCAGTGAATACACAGAGAAGGAAGGTGAATTCACAGGGAATGTTGGAGATGAGACTAATTCAGCTGTACAGAGCATCCAGCAGGTGAGCTCCAGGAGCAGGGGGCTGAGTTGCAGGCATTGCTTAGAGGGATAACCCTTTGGTTTTGGCTAATTGCAAACCCAAAAGCGTGATTGGAACATCTGGAGCTGATTTGATAAACAGTGGTAATACAAAGATGGATAGAGACGTTAAAAAAACAAGGAGTTGGACCAGTAAGCTCCTTATGTTTGTTTTCATTTCCTTTGGTGTTACCATCTCCTTGTTTGCCAGGTACCACTAGCTGGCTGATTAAAAAATGAGATTAAAAGCAGGAAACTTAATGTGGCTGGTTGTTTTGAATGTTGCCTATCCCCCTCTCCCATTACCATCGTACTGCTATATGTGGAAGTTGTTATATTCCAAGTTTTCTGCACGTGGAAGTTGTTATATTCCAAGTTTTCTATGTTCCCCTCTGCGTGTGACCTCTTCTGCTGGCAGTAGCAACATGTGAGCCCATCAGGTGGTCTTCCTTGATGATATTTGATAGTCAGGTGCAAGGTCTAAGGTTGTGTCACAGTTTGAGACCCTCAAAAATCCAATTTCTAAGTTCAAGCCCCTCTCCCACGATTTGCTTCAGTGTGAGAGGGTTTTCAGGCAAAACACAACTACTCAGCATTGGGGGAAGGGGAAAATACTTACAAGGTTTATTTACATACATATATATATATATATATATAGGTAACAACTTAACTGTTTTTTTTTTTACAATGAAATAATATATTTACATTAGATTAAATTTCTCTTTTTCTTCAACAAGAGTCCAGGAAGAAAAGAGAAAAGTCCTTTTGTCACTTTTCAGGTCACAGTTCCTTCAAATTAGTTTCTGTGGTATTAGTTACTGTCCTTTATTTTTAAGGCAGCAGATTCGAGTATTGCAGTCAGAATCTTTCTGTTCTTACTTTGTGAAAATCCCAATCCCTCGAGCCCGAGCCTTCGGGGGACTTCCTTAGAGACTTTCACTCCTCTCTTGTGCTGCTGCATTTTGGAACTCCCTTCAGATGGGTTGAGGTCACCTTTGTGTTTCCCCTCAGGTGGTGGTGACCCTCGGCGACCCCAACGTCACGGCCCCTTCCAGCTCTGTGGGGCTCACAAACATCACCGTCACCCCCATCACAACAGCAGCTGGGACCCAGTTCACAAACCTCCAGCCAGTGGCCGTGGGCCACCTGACTGCCCCGGAGCGCCAGCTGCAGCTGGACAACTCCATCCTCACCGTCACCTTCGACACCGTCAGCGGCTCCGCGATGCTGCACAACCGCCAGAACGACGTTCAGATCCAGCCCCAGCCAGAGGCGACCAACCCCCAGTCCGTGGCCCATTTTATAAACCTGACCACCCTGGTGAACTCCATTGCTCCTCTGGGGAACCAGATTTCGGAACAGCACCCCCTGACCTGGAGGTCAGTGCCTCAGACTGATGTCCTGCAGCCCCAGGCGCCGGCGACGCAACAGCAGCCGGGGCAGCAGCCGGTTCAGACAGAGCAGCAGCAGCAGATGTACAGCTACTAATTTATAACTTTGGGAAGTTTTGAAATGGACTGTACTCAGAGACAAAACAAACAAACAAACAAAAAAAACATTGGAAAATTTCTAATAGGATTGTTTGCTGGATACCAAACAGAGACGGGAAAATGTTTATACAGTGAGGTGTGAGGTAAAATTGGCGTAGCACCCTGCAGCACCCCGATCTGAGATTCTCATGCTGTCTCTAGACCTTGCACTGTCTTAACAGAACAAAAAAGGAAAAAAAAATCTCACCACAAATTCAGCATCCCCTTGCACTTGTGCAGTAAGATTGAGATTTGACAGGTGTCAAATCATCATACACCTTAACCAAAGCAGGGAAATCCTAAATGTTACGGCACTTGTGATGTACAAAAGCCTTTCAGCCATACCATGTCACTTCTCTGCAGTCTGGAAGTGAAATGTGAAGACCTTGTTCACAGTGAGTGGAATGTACTTGTGGTCAGCTGGTAGAGACTGAGACGTGAAGACACAAATGGGCAAAACAATAATTGTCTTTGTTTCTTGTTTTCTTTAGGTCTTGTATCTTAACAACACTGGTAAACTAGGTGGAATTTGGGGCTTTGGGGTGGGCATGAGTGTGGTGTGGAAGAAAATATACCAATTTTACAAAGTATTTCCATTTTAGTCATGGGAAAAACCCTGTACCCATCACACAGTGTTAGTGCTACTTGAATCAGATAGCTGGTCTGATGCTAAAGCAACTTTTAGGGTCTTCTAGTCAAGTTTGAATCAAACCAATTACAAACTGGAAAAAAAAAAAAAAGAATGTGATACAGTTTTATGTAATTTTTCAAACCTGCTCTTTCAATCTTGCTTTTAGCTAATAGGCCTGAAGAGCAATCAGTCCCCTTTGATCAAGTTCAGGATGTGAATTTTTTTCAATTCGACTTATTTCATCGTGTAATAAACATTTGAGAAAGCATTCTTTTTATATATATATACATACACATATATATATATATAGCCTTTGTACTTTACTGTGTGTTCCTGGTGAATATTTGTGTGAAAAACATTGTTGCCAATACGATTCATTGATTTTTTTTCATCCCCATGTTGCCTTTTCTCACGGAAATAACATATGGATTCTATTCCTTCTGTTTCCAGAAGTATTTCCAAAATCCATGGCCACACACAGGGTTGTGTGACAAGGAAAAGGGAATGTCTGAAGCATTTTCTGTGTGCTGCCACATGGAGTCAGTGTGCCCCAGTGTATAACGGGCAAGGTTTGCATGACTGTTGGGGATACAAATAGTGGGTTGGGTCAAGGGCATCCTTGCTGACACTTCACTCTCATTCCATCCTCCATACATTGATGTGCAGTCTGGACTTTTGCATGTCAAGAAGATAGTACTGTTCCCACAGGAAAAAAAAAAGAAAAAAGAGCTGATAGCAAAAAGGAATAAACTAAAAAAAAAATATATATATATAATATATAAAATATGTTGCTACCTGGAATCCTGAAAGGCAAATCTGTCCTTCCAGCTGAAGAACAAGGTCCTTTGGGGCAGCAGACTGAGCCACGGAACCTTGCTGGGGATTCTTGCTGAGGATAAAGCAGCTGCTGTGTTTGACAGATGGATTGATGGTTGTAAAAATCCTGTCTGTGCCTATCATAGTTATGAAAATGTTCCATGTATTAGCAAAAATACAAATAGGAATGACTTCAGCTTTGAAAGTCTCTATTAACATGGAGTACTTGACCCCTAAAGGATGCCTTATGATCTCTGCAACAAATTCTTCCAAAGTATAAATGTCTGGATATTAAAACTAACCTCCAGTGTTTTTTTTGGTGCCATAGCAGTGTCCAGAGCCTTGCTATGCCAGGCCCTGTGTAAAGCTGCAGGACATGTGTAAGAAAGGGGTTTCTGGTGACAGATTTTGTGTGTCAGAGGAGCAGAACTACTTTTCTGTAAATGTCAAAAAGTCTACAAAATGTCTGCATGGGGGAGACCTGTATTTGATGGGACAAGGATACATATCAGAAAGAGAAAATACCTTTTAGTGGTGTGGGAAAGAGAATTTTTCATTCCCTACCCCGTTCTGTCTTCCTCAGATACTTTTCACACAATATCACAAGATGCTGTAATGTTTTAGACTCCCAATATCCCAAGAAGTAGACTTCTTGGATTATTTCACCACTGGCTTGAGCTAATTAAGTTTATCCTCAGCTGTCTTGTCCACAGATGCTTCCCTTTCACACTAAACCTGGTGGGCAAGAGGAAGCCAGGTTTTATTTACAAAATATGCTGTTTATGTACTTGAAACTTCTTTTTTTTCCCCTGTGTTTGGTGCCTAATTGGTAAAGGCATGTTATCTTTTGGCAGGGTACTTTGGAGAGAGTGGGGAAAAAAGGGAAGGCAGGCAAATGGAGAGGTCCTAGATGGAGCTGTTGTGGTAAATAAAAGATGGCTAACATCTAAAAAGATACATATATATATATATATGTACACACAGATGGAGGGTTACAGTGCTGCATATAGAATTTCTACAACAAAGTTTTGTTTAGACATACGTAAATGGTGATTAAGGTTTTAGCTGGGAAAAAAAAGAGGGGTTTTGCCTTAGCAGAATCCATCTGCTCCATGTTAATACTACTGACAGTAACACTGATGCTGCACTGAATCAACCTGCATCATTTTAACACATCATTTCCTGTTTGGTAAGAATTGCACATGGAGGTAATGGACCACTAGAGACCTCTCTGGCCTTACAAAGCCTCTTTACCCTGATGTGGTCCATTGTACTCTTCTGTACTTCTGTGGGGCCTGGCCTGCCACCCACACTACCTGGCCTTCGTGTTCCCACCCAGGCAGGTGGGATCTTGCTTTTCTGACAGGGATTGATTCCAGCTGATTTTAGAAGGAATGATCACACAGTGAGTGCTTGCATGTTGGTGGGCACTTAGAAATATCCCTCATTAGTCTCTCAGTATCCTCAAAATCATGGAATTGGAAGGCACCTCAAAAGATGATCTGGTCCAGCCTTTTTTGGGGAGAGGGAGCTTGGATGAGGTTACAGATTCATGGAATCATCATTATCCAGCACCCTGTCCAATTGCATCTTTACAATCTCCAGTGACAGGGACTCCACCACATCCCTGGGGAGGTTGTTCCAGTGGATGGTTGTTCTTACTTAGAAATTATCTTAAATAATATTCTGCTTCAGGAAGGAAAAATATAAGCACTGGAAGGGCTTTGGCTGTGTCAGGCAATAGAAAGTTCTCTGCAAGCTGATCTTCCCAGAGCACTCCTTTGAGACAGGAGTGACTTTTCCTGCAACCCTTGCTATGGTACCTCATCATCTCTCAGCATGACTTTATTGTTACTACTGTTATTGGCATCCCTACGAGAACACAACTGTGTCTTGGGTGTGCTGCACCACGAAAACATTTCAGAAAAACCTAATTCTTGTGTTTGCTTTTGTTTCAAATTATTTTGTTTGGAGAGGTTGGAAATTGCTGCCTTTTCAGACACAGAGCTTACCCTGGACAAGCGAGTGACTCTTGTCCAGCTGCTCTCCCAGCCCAGCGTTTTTCAGGTGGATACCAAAGTTGTACCGATGCTGTTTTCAAACTGCACAAGAGACAAAAGCTCCGTTAAGGGATGTGCAATCCAAATTTCCTTTGCCCATTTTTTACCTGCCTCTTCAGCTGTAGGACCTGAAGGTTATTTGTTTTCAGCCACCGGTGTTGGGAGATTTTTGCATAACAACTGTTCAGTCGAAAACTGGAATTACTTGGAGCCAAAGGAGTGATGTTGTGTAGTGTTCTGTGTATTGTCATTGTTTACTGCTGAGACTGTTTAATTGAATGCTGTCTGTGGCACACAGGCTCTGAAGTAAAAGAGCATCAAGGTACAGAACCCTTTCTCTACCAGTGTTATTCTTTCCTGTTCCTTCATTAAGGTATCGAACATTTTTTTCTCCAAATCTGAAGAAATGTGATTTTCTTCAAATCACAGAGATTTGTATCAAAAGCAATGAGCTCAGTCATTATCTCACAGAACTTTATGGATCCCACAGTATTCTAAAATATTGATTCTGAAATATTGATTCTAAAATATTGATTCTATAGCTTGTTACTGGGTAATAAGAGAAAGCAGAGGAGATTGAGCCTTCCTTGGCTCTGCTATGTGGTGAGTTCTCTCAGGAAAAAAACAACTGTATAAAATGCTAATATGCTCTCTAAAAGTAATTTATTTTTTTTTAGCTGTGTCACTATGAAAAGTGAGTCTTTTTGCACAAACCTACCAGTCAGTCTCCTGTCAGTCTAACCAGCTACATTTCTGTACCATTTTATTGTTTCAGACATTGTCTGAAAGTTAACAGCCAGGAAACACTTGGATTTATTTCAAGAACTGAGTTTCCTGCCAGTTTGTCAGAGTGATTTGCTGGTGTTGTGCATGCATAAAGATGTCTCAGTTTCTCATCTTGAAAACTAGGAATGGAATAAATACCATACATCCAAATGACAGTTATATGCAAACTATAGGTGCTACATGCAAATGCATGGGGTGAATAGCTTTGTTAGCATTGCTTTGGGAATTATTCAGCAATGAGATGTCCTTGGTGCTATTTAAAGTAATAGTAATAATGTCACTCCTCCTAATTCCTTTTGGCCCGACATTTATTATTGATGTGGGTGTACCTGTTGGGAAGTCTTTAAAACCTTGTATTTTTGGCTGCCTTTTCCTGGTGGCTGTGATCTGGTGTAAAGGGAGAAGGAAAAACATGGGAGGAGGTACTGCTCATCCACACCATGATGCACAGTAAAGCTCTGCTTGAAAAGTGTTTTTTGGAGATGGGTTGCTGAGGTTTGTGTTCACATAGGGGCTTTTGCCCTATAGCACACCTGAAGTGTCATGGTGGCAGCAGGATAAAGGAAAAAAAATATTTCTGTCATGTTTTTTGTCAACTCAGAGTGATTTTCTTCGGTGCTGAGATGCTGCTGTGTTGTTTGCACTGTGCATGGCAAGAAGCTGTTAAAATGTCTTGATGAAAAATATTAGAACACTGTAAAAAGCCACAGGTACTTCACCATACAGTACCAGCATGATTGGAAAATATGTTTCTTGCCCTAAAATGCTTTGAGAAAGCTCTTCCAGATTTATTTTCCCTCCTGGGTGCTGACAGGCTGTTCTGGATGTGTGCTGCTGCTGGGTCAGTTCAGACAGGATTCAGCATATGCAGCCCCTGCAATGGAATCACAGAATGGTTTGGGTTGGAAGGGACCTTAAAGATCTTCCAGTCCCACCCCCTGCCATGGGCAGGGACACCTTCCACTGGCCCAAGTTGCTCTGAGCCCCATCCAACCTGGCCTTGGACACTTCAAGGGATGAGGCAACCACAGCTTCTCTGGGCAACCTGGGCCAGGGCCTCACCACCTTCTGAGTTAAGAATTTCTTTCTAATATTTAATCTAACTCTACTCTCAGTTTGAAGCCATCCCCCCTTGTCCTGTCACTACATTTGAAGGGAAAGGGGCAATGAGGGTGAGACTTGTCCGGGGGACTTCAGTGTCACCCCCAGAGTCAGGATTTCATCATCATTTGCAGTGAAATGCTCTTGTCTTTCTGCCTTATCCATGAGCAGTGTTGACCAGTCACAGTGCCTGGTTAGTTGCTAACATTTCAGAAAAGCTCATTGTTGGGTGCAATGGCTGCAGAGCAGCTGATATCAAAAGCAACTAAAAATACCAACTTTGGGGATTTATTTCAACTAAAGCTAAGTTTTTCAGTTTTTTTCTGTCAGTTGGGTGCTTTCCTGTACTGTCCTGTTTGCTTGCAGATTTTGATTTTAAGAAACTTCCAACGTGTCCTGGAAGTGTAGTAAAAAAGGCTAAAAAAAAAAAAGTGTAACAGTGGCAGAATGAGGAGTTAACATTAGGAGAAACTAATGGTGCTCATTTTCTACAGATTTCCACCCTTTTCCTGCCCACCTGAGCCTTAGGTTCTTGCCGTGGTGGTATCCCAGGGAAGGAGGCTGCACATGCTCCGGCTCGTTTGCCAGAATTCCTCGCGTAGGGATTGACACGCTGGGTGTTGTTACTGAGAGCAGACACCAGCAAAGCTCTGCCAGCCTTCCCCTCGAGCCATGTGCTCATTCCAGTATCTCCTCCCAGCTCAGCTGGCTGTGTTCTCAGAGCTCAGTAACCTTGGTGTCTCCAGGACTCGGATCTTTCACGTTTAGTGAACGTAAAATCACGGGGTCATTTAGGCTGGAAAAGGCCTTCAAGATCATCGAGTCCAACCTGTGGCTGACAACCACCTTGTCACTGAGTGCCATGGTCCATTCGTTTCTTGAACACCTCCAGGGAAGGTGACTCCACCTGGGCAGCCCATTCCAATGCCTGACAACCCTTTCCATGAAGAAATTCTTCCTGATGACCAGTGTGAATCTCCCCTGGCGCAGCTTGAAGTCATTTCCTCTTGTCCTGTTGCTGGTTATCATAGAATCATAGAATGGTTTGGGTTGGAAGTGGCTTTAAAGATCATCCAGTTCCAACCCCCTGCCATGGGCAGGGACACCTTCCACTAGCCCAGGTTGCTCCAAGCCCCATCCAACTTGACTTTGAACACTTCCAGAGATGGGGCTTCCACAGCTTCTCTGGGCAACCTGTTCCAGGGCCTCACCACCCTCACAGTAAAGCCTTTCTTCCTAATATCCAATCTAAACCTCCTCTCATTCGGTTTGAACTCATTCCCCCCTGTTCCTGATGAACAGTCCCTCTCTGGCTTCCCTGTAGGGCCCTCAGTCACTGGAAGGGGCTGTGAGGTCTCCACACAACCTTCTCTTCTCCAGGCCCCAACTCACTCAGCATCAAGAAGTGGATTCAAAACTGTGGATAAAGAGGGACCTGAGAGGCAACAAAGAACACTGGAAGCATAGCTAAGAAACGTGAGAGAACACGTGCTCAGCCTGCTGTGCTGAGCTGTGTGATGAGCTGTGGTGGCTGCAGGGCTGTGAACTAATTACTGATAATTGCATTCAGGCACCTTTTTTTCTAGCAGAATCCATGTCCTGTTACTTGTGTGAGGGGAAAGTGTCACTGTGTGTTCAGTTTACCATAAATTAAACCCCAAGGTTTGAATTCACACGCTCGGCGTGTTATGTGCAGCAACGTGCAGAAACCAAGGAGTGAGATGATCAGTGATAAGGAAGAAGGCCCACATTTCACTGCTTTTGGAAGAGCAGAAGCGAGGTTGTAGGCAGTGTTTTCTCAAGAGTGACTGTCCTTTCTCATGCACAGAACAGACCTACATGATACCAGGCACACCAGTGTTGTCAAGGGGATGACACTGGAATAAAGGGTTGCTTTACAATCAAAACACCCCCCCTAAAAAATCAAATCAGCTCGTTAAAGGAAAGGGCGAGTAAGTTCTAACCCTTCCTGTGCCAAGGAGAGGTAGGTAAAAAAAGAATGGCTCTCAATCTGCTATGCTGGCTGGTAGGTTAAAAAAAATAATAAATTAACTGCATGCTCATGCTCCTTTTCCCTTCTCTCCACACCCATGCCCGTGTTAAGACCTTAGTCTGAGCTTTCAAAGGAATGAATACCTTTGTCTGACAGACATACAGATGGCACTTACACCCAAGGGCCCTAGTTCAGGTATAAAATTCCAGGTTGGTATATTGCAAATATGGATACATAGGTTAGGGGTATTTGGGCAGGAGCAGGTTGGTTTTGGGGCTGTGTGTGTCTTTAAAAGTAAAGAATAGTTGCTTTATTGCCCTCCTGTGGAGTCTATGCTGATGCAAACAGAAGGTTTTTGCTGAAGAGACTGGAACCAGTGACAAAGCACCATTTTAAAGACACAAAAAAGAAGAGCTTAGATTGCATAATCAAAGAGAAAAATGAGAAACTTTGTCCTGAAGGCAAATGCACCTACTTCTCATTCACTCTCCTCCCTTTTTCACTACTTTTTTTCCCATGAAATACATGCAAATCCCAACATGCACTAAGTTTTCCTCCAGGCATGATACACTTGTGTGGTTATTCAGGTAAGAAGTGGGTTGAATAGAGATATGAGGTGCTCCCTGCTGAAGGATCTTGGAAAAGAGTGCTCTATTTACTGCTGTTGTTTTAAAGCCATCTGCTCACCCCTGAAAGCATTTGTAGTTAGTACAGGGATATCTGTCATTCTAATTATACAAAATACACATTTCCTTCTTAATTTACTTCGTCTTCTCACAGCACAGCCAGGATTTCTGACTCTACCTACTGGCAAAAAATGTCTAGAAATTAAGTGTAAGCATTTTATCAAAATGAAGAGCAGCTTAAGAAGTAATTCAAGTAGAGCAAGAACTTGCTGTTATCAATTAATGCTCACAAGAAATCACAAATTCTGGTCACACAGGACACTTACCAGTTTGGGAGGAGTAAATGAATGTGTGTGGTCTGTGCTTGGCTACAAATCCTTCCAGGTCTCCACTGCCAGCTGTACACTCTCACTTTTAAAGGTGTTTTGTGTGAAGGATGTTGAAAATGGTGGGTTTAGACAATATTAAAAATGGAAGGATTAGAGGGTGAGTGCACAGCTGGGGTGTAGAGACAAGGAAAGGGGGATCTGGGTGGTTTGGCTGGGATGAAGAGACAAGAAAAGGGCATGTGGGTGCTTCAGGTGGGATGCAGAGACAAGGAAAGGGGGATGTGGGTGGTTCAGGTGGGATTTAGAGATGAGGTGGGGCTGTGCCGTTATGGGTAGGAGGATTTCAAGGTCACTCCCAGTTTTCCCTCTGGTGGTTTTTGCCTCTCAGTTTGCTCGTTGGGATATTATGGATGCTGGCGTTGGTCAATTAGAATAATTATAACTTGAAATATTTTGTTCCAGTAGGAT